GAGGAGGGGTGAGTGGAAACATCCTACACACAACTTCAGCCGGGCCTTCAGGAAGTCCTTGGGCCCAAATCGGCCATCAGACAAGCCCCACGTCACCTAGGAGTGGACCTGCCATAGTGTCCCTACCGCATTCAGTTGTCAACTAGGGGCATGGCCTTGGCACCAACATGGCACGGATCTCCAAGCACAGCAGCTGGGGCCTTGGTGGGTGACGCTCCCTCTACTTGGAGGTCCACCAGGCACATTCTCATGGCTGCCTATGAATCAGACCTGGGGTTCCACCCCATCTCTGGAAGCTGCTAGCTGTGTGACTATAAGCAAGTCACTCAACCTCTCTGAGCCTCAGATTCTTCACTAGTGAAATGGAGACAGTAGTTCCACTTATTTCCAAGAATGGATTAAATACACCTCAGCTACTTCAAGTAGATACTCTAATGTACACTCATCATTAATGTCAGTTCACTTTCTGGAAGGAGCCTTTGGGGTCATCAAGGGGCTGTTTTTATTCATTAAACTTCACTCATAACAGCCTCTCATGTCTCCTCTCAGCTGGCTGAAACCAGACATGGGGAAGAAGGCCAAACATAAGACTCAAATTAAAAAGAAAACCTTGAATCCTGAATTTAATGAGGTAAGGCCGCCCCATTTTTGTCTTGCTATTGAATTTTTCCTGTGTGAGAGAGGAACAAAGCCCCTACTGGAATGTTGTCAGGCACACCAAAAAGTGCTTTCTCGCATAGATCAGCTTGAATTCTCTAAAGGAGAGGTCGTGAGTTTCTTGTCACTGGAGGGAATCAAGCCCAAGACAAAAACCTGTAGGTTAGGAATGTCATCGGTAGGAAGCTGAGTTTGAAGAGAGATTAAATTAAATCATGTCCAATATCTTCACCAATTCTAACAGCCTACTGCAATTTGAGGACATCGGTTGGGACAGTGATACCCTTTACCATCCACCCAGTTGGTGTTACCCTCTCACTGTCCTCCGACATCCATCCAGTGCATGACGTCTTGCTAAAGCCACTGTCGAGACATCCAGTGAATCTGCTCCTTCGCTGTGTGCTCACTGTTACTGCCTTGATGTAGACCCTGGCATTTTACGCCTGGACTATTGCAGTAGACCCCCAACTCTCCTCCCTCTAACCACTGAGCCAACCTGGCCAGGGCTAGACCCCACTTCTTTATGTACGTAGACATAGGTATAGATATAGCAAATACACGTGTGGCCGGCATTCTTATCAGACACAAACGGTATCGCCGTATACATCCACTATTCTCTAAAAATTTTACAAACTCAGAAAAACGCTTCTTGGAATCTATCCTCATAAATCATCACGGATGTATACATGGTATAGGTACAAGGGTGCCTTTCATCATATCATTAATGATCACGAGAAACTGGAAACAATCTAAACACTTGACCATCAAGCACTAGGTTATAGGCCAGACAAGCCATTAAAAGAAGCTACTAATATGAGCTGGCGTGCCCAGTTGGTTTTGGCCATGTGTCATGGAAAATAGAAAAAGAGAGCCACAATATGCTATATTCATATTCTACTTCATGGAGTATAATACACAAATATCTCATATAATCTAATGAATATTCATATTACTATTTTAAAACATTGAAACATAAGCACCCATTGCTCATATCCATCTCCGTCCCCTCAACTACCTTTAATGTCTAAATGATGGCGACAAGGGCAGACCTACCTTAGAAGCTACCATAATGGAAGGACTGAGTGCTTGCCTATCTGTCTTCCAGGAAACTTGGCCAGGGCCAGCTCTCTTAGCAAAACTCCCCCAGCCTTCCCAATTCCAAACACTCATTGGAAAGAGAATGCAGGACCTGAGGGACTTTGTCATACAGAATATTTGTTGAAAAGGGATTGTGAGGCCCGGAATAGAGGCTCCAAAGAGGGGCCCCCATGCTCCCAGAATGTCTAGTTCAAAGGTCTCCACTTGGTCCGTGATCCCCTAGGACTTGGCCTCTTAGCTCCTGAAGCCAAAGGCTCAAGGGACCCTGTCACTCACATGTCCTCCTCTCTTGCCTCCAGGAGTTCTTCTATGACATCAAACATAGTGACCTGGCGAAGAAATCTCTGGACATCTCGGTCTGGGACTACGACATTGGCAAGTCCAACGATTACATTGGTGAGTGCGTCCCGCCCAGAGAAAACTTGTCCTCTGTCCCCCCGGGAGAGGAGAGATTTCCCCGGGGCTACAGGGGGTGAGAGTCTTTCTTTTCTTTTGCCAACCACATCGTCCAAACGCTAAACCAGAACCCCTGGTCCCGATTTGAGTCCAATCTGAGAACGCCCTTAGATGAAAGGGCTTCCAAGCTGGGCGGATGGGGTCATGACTGGTTGTGTGTCGAACAGGTCACTCCAGTGGCACAGTTAAATCGCAGGCGCTTGGGGTCTGTGGCTCTCCAGAAAATACGGTGCAAAGGATGTCTCCTTAATCGATTTGCAAGTCCTGGTTGAAGGTTGTAATTTTCCTAATCCCCCTCCAAATCGCAAGGAAGAACAGTCATTAAAAAGGGGGCAGGGAAGGAACTTCCAGCCGGGGACGCAGCTTGAGCGCAGGATTGAGCGGCGTGATGAAAGCAACTCTTTGGAAATAGATGATGAGTTTCTAAACGTAGCTGGAGGTGAGTTTCCGTGAACGGGTAGTGACTTGCAGAAGGTCTGAAAAAACAGACAGCTTGGTGCTCCAATAGGCAGCTGCTGAGGGGTCTGGAGTAGGTCACCTGTAGGCAGAGAGGCCGGTGGTAATGACAACACCGTCACAACTACTCTCTACGGGACATGGATCCCAAGATGCTGGAGTGGGGTTACTGCTTGGTGGCAGTTTTTCCCCAACTCGACATTTGGGTCCAGAATGAGAGTCCCATGTGTCCCTCCACTCTGACCCCTGTCCCTATCTTTCCTTATCATCCAGGAGGCTGCCAGCTGGGGATCTCGGCCAAGGGAGAGCGTTTAAAACACTGGTACGAGTGTCTGAAGAACAAGGACAAGAAAATCGAGCGCTGGCACCAGCTACAGAATGAGAACCATGTGCCGAGCGATTAGGATGCTGTCCAGCTCCCCGGCTCCCCAGCTCCGTACCCCGGCCCAGGTCACCCCCAGCCTGCCCCAGCGGCCCAATTCACTCTGGTCTCTCCTCTCTCTGCCCCTCCCCATCCTGACCCCTGCTGCCCTCCCTGAGCCTGCTTGGGGGGTCTCCCCCTCACCTTGGGCACTGCCGCCAAAGACCTTCCCCTTTCCTTGCGATGCTGCTGCTGCGACGTGAGCTCTGACTCAGCCCTTCTGCGGTCCCTCCAGGACGGAGCAGTCAGGATTGGGATGGGGAGACTTTTACAAGGTTGTTCACTTCTCAGCCTTCCAGTCTGGGTGATGACAAACGTTCTTCATCGTCTAGGGCTGTTTTAAACCCTCCTAGCCTTGAACACACACACACACACACACACTTTTTGTGTCTTGTCCACGTGTCCCCTCAGCTGTCAGCAGACCCAGCCAAGGCTGTGGGGACCTTGTGTTGGGGCAGACATAGAGCATCCAGGCCCCCACCGCCTCTGCACATGTACACCCCGATCTCCAGGGAAACAGACCACCCTGGTGGCCAGGAACACACCCTCCCGGCTCCCAAATGCTTCAAGAGATGGGCACGTGCCCTGGCTGATTTGACTCAGTGGTTACAGCATCGACCTACGGTCCAGAGAGACCCGGGTTCGGTTCCCACTAGGGGCATGTACCTCGGTTGCAGTTTGTCCCTGGTCCTGGTTGGGTCGTGCTGGAGGCAGCCACTCGATGTGTCCCTTTCACATCGATGTTTCTCTCTCTTCCTCTCTCTCCTTCCCACTCTATCTGAATAAAAAATGGAAAAATGTCCTTGAGTGAGGATTAAAAAAAAGAGAGAGAGAGAGAGAGATGGGCACACAAAATACACAGAGGGACTTGGTAACCCCCTCTTTCAGGATGTCACCTATTTGCTTCCTAGTAAAAAACACTTGTCCACTACCCTCCGCCACACCCCTCTCTCTGCCCCAGCCACCCACACAACTTCCTCTCTATCCCCATCTCTTTCCCCATCTCCTCTCTCCCTCTCTAAGGGGGTTAAATAACAAAAGCAAAAAATACCCTAACACTGCCTCACCCCTTCGCCTCTTGTCACCAGCCCCACCAGCGAACACTGAGAAACGGGCAGAGCGCAAGCTTCCACTCAGACCCTTGCTTCTTCAGACCCCACCCCCCTTCTATCGGCACGGCCAGGTGGCTGCCCCAGGTGCATAGGCTGTGCAGACACCCCGCAGAGGGGCTTTTTCAGCCCTGGGCTTCCCCCAGTGGGCACAGGAGGTATCTAGAAACCAGAGCTCTGGGTCCGAGGGGGGCCTCCCCAGAGCCCCCGGACATTCAGTTTCTCCTTCCCCCGCTCTTAGTTCAGTGGACCCGCAACCCCTGTTCCTGAAACTCTGACTCAGCTTCTTTGACTCTCTGGTGCCCTGTGTCTCATTCAGCATCGCCTCCAACCTCTGTCTCTGTCCAGTCTCCCGGTCTCTAGCACCCTCCTCACCGAGTGTGTCGAAAGGATACACCATCGTCATGCATCCGACCCTTTAGTGACAGACCTTGGTGCCAAAGGCTTTTATTCCACCGTGAATCTTCCAGTCTTGTTCCTTTAGAAAACGTTTTTTAAAGGAGAGAAGGGCCGTGAGGACAACTGTACCTGTGAGGTGGGTTTTGGCCCATGTCTTCAGGGCCCTGTAAACAAGTTAGTGTTTCCCGGCTCCCATGAAGTCGTCGCCCATGCAAATCACCCCTCTGCCCACCCCCGTCACCCGTAGAAGTCATCAGATGGACGCTCAAATGCTCACTTGCTTCAAACGCCCACCTTTGAACCCTTCCAGCGTTCTCCACCCCCAGCCCTCCGCACGAGTCACTGAAAGTCACTGATTTCTAAACCATTAAGTTCTCGACAGCAGGTTCTCCGCCTTCCCCAAGATGGCCAACAGCTTCCTGGCTGCCATCTGCCCCCGTCCCTCCCCGTCCCTCCCGTCCCCCGTCCCCAGCGCCCACCGCCTGCCCGCGGATGCTGGCTGCATCGCCCGAGCCCGCCGCTGGTACTGGCGCTGGAATCAGCATGTGGAAAGCTCACAGAGCCCGCAGCCGGGCGCACGCTCCGCTCACCCCACAAACCCGACGCCCCCCCCCCCCCCCAGAACACACACTCCCTCTCGTGCATGCAGAATCGTCCGCGCCGCCTTTGTGATGATGTAGCCAAAAATAAAGTAGGAGTATCCAGGAAACCGGTGGCCTGTGTTCTTCCTTTCTGGCTCCTAGAGGTTCTCCTCGCTGGGATACGGACGCTACTTGGATAGTCAGTATTTAATGAGCATCTACTATGTTCCAGCCCCTGGGGAGAGGGCGGTACAAGGAAGGCCTGGCCCCTGCCCACGTGGAGTTTGCTTTCTGGTGGGTTTCATCTTGGGCAGGCAGGCTCAAGGCAACTCGTCTGACCCCACACCCTCTTAGCTGAGCGCTTCGGCCTGTGCCCATCCGCCAAGCAGGTAGCACCTTCCACCTCTCCCTACTACCCAACCTTGGGGGGAAAGTCCCAAATGGCTGTGGAATCAGATCATATTGAGGCTGAAAGAGATGAAAGAGTTGATCCAGGGCCTATGGCTCAATCAGCGCATGCACCTGACAGATGAATAACCCCAGGCCCAGAGGGGGGACTGTCTGGTCGCAGCAAAGCCCAGGAGAGGAGCTAGATCGTTGGACTCCTTCTGCGCTACTCTTAATACCAATGAGGATCGTCAAGTACCTCCCTTGTATTCCAGCACCTTCCACCCTGCAATGAGCCTTCACAGAAGGCCCCTCACTCAAGATTCTCAATGGCCCTAAAAGTGAGCTGAGTCGGTAACTGACTTTCCAGGTGGATCCTTAGTCCCACTCGAGTCGATCCCGAAAGTGCTAAGGACAATGTATCAGGAATGTGGGTTACTTCCCAGAGGAGCTATCAACTCCACCCAACGGAAACATGGCCGTTTCCAGGCCAAGTCTGAGACAAGTTCCTTTTCTTATCCCCCGAAGGGTGGGCAGTGTTGGGGCAGAAGTCGGCGGAGCAGAATCACCTGGGAAGATTTTTTTTTTTCCAATCTACCCATGTTCTGCCCACCACTCCTTGTTCCCATCAGATTCTGCTATGTCCTGGGGACACGGTGTATATTTGAAAATATTTCCTGGTTGATATCTGTGTTTCCACCTCCAAACCACTGCCCTAATGCCCTGTTGATGCTGCAATTCCGCCAGCTGCCACTGGGTGGAAGGAGGTGCTGGTCAGGGCCGCACAGGCCTCCCGGGAATGGCAGGAGGCACTTGCTGCCACTCTCTCCTTGGGCTCATGGCAGACATCACTCATCAACATGGCATCGTTCCCACAGAGCCTACGAGCAGCCTCTGAATCCTTCTTAACACAGCAGTCTATGCAGCCATCACTACCCGGTCATGGGCAGTAAAAAGAAACCTAATGTTCATCTCTCAAGTGGTGGAACTCCTTCCCCAGGCATGGGGACACACCAAAGGGGCGGAGATAAAGATATAAGAAAAATTTCATAAATATCGGTACACCTGACTTGAGCAATGATCCCCCTCCCCATTGAAATAAAACAGAGGCACCCAGCTGGTGTGGCTCAGTGGTTGAGCGTCGACCCATGCACAAAGAGGTTGCCAGTTCGATTCCCAGTCAGGGTACATGCCCAGGTTGTGGACCAGATCTCCAGTGGGGGGCATGCAGGAGGTGGCCAGTCGGTGTTCCCTCTCATCGGTGTTTCTGTCTCTCTCTCCTTCTCCCTTCCTCTCTAAAAATCAATTTAAAAACATTTTTTTAAAATAATTTTGTCAGCAAAAATAACAAAATAGCCCTGGCCAGTTTGTCTCAGTGGTTAGAGCATCAGCCCGCGGTCCAGAGAGACCTGGGTTTGGTTCCCACTGAGGGAATGTACCTCGGTTGCAGTTTGTGGCCGGTCCTGGTTGGGGTCGTGGGGGTGGCAACCACTCGATGTGTCTCTCTCACATCGATGTTTCTCTCTCTCTCTTCCTCCCTCTCTCCCTCCCATTCTATCTGAAGATAAATGCAAAAATGTCCTCGGGTGAGGATGGAAAAAAAAACAAAAACGATAACAAAATAATAATAATAAAAACTAGGAAGAAGAAAACCAAAAATTGATTTTGAGTCCTAATTTCTCTTGGGTGAAGTACTAATATGAGTTTAAAAAAAAAACAAAACAAAAAAAACCCCCTAAGTTTCCAGAGTCCAGTCTGAAGAAAGGCAAATGTTCAGGGCAAAGAGTAAGCATCAGAATGTGGAGAATTCAGGTGCTAGATTTGATTGGGATGAAATAGCCCCTCCCTTCCCAGGAAACGAAACCAACGGCAGTGCAGACTCGGGCAATAGGAAAGACAGGCTCATACTTGCCTCTGGCCACTGGCTCTCCTGCCCCTGTCCAAACTTCACCCACCATGGAGCTCCAAACTGTCCCAGCCGGGGGGGTGGTCTGGACAAGTTCATCAAAGTCCACCTCCTGTCAGATGAATGTTTCCGAACTCAGGTCAAAGAAGCCATCGCCATCATCTGCAGTTTCCTGAAGGAGAGGTGTTTCCGCCAAAGTGCCCTCTCGCCCGTCCATGTGTCGAAGGTGGTAAAGGGGAGCCCACCCGCCAGACTGGGGAGGGAGGGGGTGGGTGAACGGGCAGGGATTTCCACAAAGAGAGCGAAAGGTTGAGGTCCTTGGGGCTGGTGGTTTTGAATTGATCCATACCAAAAATATAACCACAACTTTTGCACATAGACTCTGGGGTGAGCTCTTATGTCTGTAATTTTTTTAACGAATGCCCTGGTGAAGTTCATAAACCACTGTCCTAGGCCGCATCCATTTCAGAGATAGGAAAACCGAGGCCCAGCTCTGATCAACCATCTGCTCGTTAATGGCCAGGCTGAGGACTCACCGTTTCTGCAGTATCATGAGTTGATTAAAAATATATGTTTAGACAGAACGGTGGTTACCAGAGGTGAATGGGGGTTGGGGGGAGGACGAAGAGGATAAAAGGGGTCAAATACAAGGTGACACTGGGAGGCTGGACTTGGGTGGTGAGCACACCATAGGGTATACAGATGCCGTATTGCAAAGTTGTACACCTGAAATTTACATGATGTTATATTAACCAATGTTACCCCCAATACATTTATGAATAATTTCCAATAAAAGTATAAGTTTTAAAAGCCAATAGCACCTACTGACAGTAAAAACTTGAGCAAGTCACTTAGCCTCTCTGTGCCTCAGTTTCCTCATCCATAATTCCCAGGGCTGGGCAGATTAAGTAAACCAACCAGCTTGGGCCAGGCGACAGTGTGTAATGACAGAGGACAGGAAAGGCCTCGGAGTGAAGACTACAGACTAGAACAAGGCAGCTGGGGTTTGAACTGCGTCTCCGCCACCTATCAGCTGTGGCTTGGGCTAATATATAATCTCTCTGTGTTCCCATCTGTAAAATGGGAACAAATAAGAATAGTGCCTCAACAGCAAAGTCCTTGGGAGCATCGTAGGAGTTAAGACTGGGAATGCCTTTGGAACAGTGGCTGGTGCCCAAGAATGTTAGTGATTGGTCTCATCATTTTATTTAGGGAGGCTCTTCTCAAGAAAGGTTGGTTCTCATTCCCTTCTCTGTTTTAGGGCGGCTCCTCAGGCAAAGGCACCACCGTCAGAGGCCGGTCTGGTGCTGACCTCGTCGTCTTCCTCAGCCCCTCCAAAGTTTCCGGAGCAGTTTGATCAGAGAAGACTTCATCCGGGAAATCAAAAAACAACTGAGAGCCTGTCAGAAAGAGAAGAGGTTTACCGTGTACTCTGAGATCCCGAATAATAGGACCCCCGTGCCCTCAGCTTCAAGCTCAAGAGCAGCTGTCTCCAGAAGGAGGTGGGGTTTGATGTACTGCCCGCCTATGATGTCCGGGGTCAGTGCCCTCACCAGAACCGGTCCAGCCTCTGCCCTGTGCCAAGGCTTCGCTCTCGCCTCATATTTCTGATCAGAAGTCGTTCACAGTTTGAGAGACTTCCCAAAACAGGGCATCCCTTTAAAATGGGGACGAGATCTTAGATTCTCTCCTGGGGCAGGAGTGAAGGTGGTCTGAGCAGCCACAGGGGTGACATTAAACTGCAAATTGGCACCATTCCGGAGCGAGACGTTTTTCCGTAAGCCCTCGAGGCTTGCTGGCTCTACTCGCGGCAGAGTCTTTTATCTTCCTAAGGATGCAGCAGCATCGATGGGGCTTGTTCATTTTATCTTTTACCCAAAACCTCAGCACACGTGCTTCGAGGGCTGGGATCTGGGTGACATGCATGTGGACGGAGAAACCGAACCTCTTGGAGCTCAATCCCCGCTGAGGAACACTGGCAGAGCGGCCCTGGCTGTGCCATCCTATTTTTTAAGTATTGAATGATCATCTACATTAAGCTCTTACTCAGGGCCTAGTGCATAGCAGGTGTTTAAAAATGGGAGTTTCGCCCTGGCCTGTTTCGCTCAGTGATTAGAGCATCAGCCCGCGGACCAGAGAGTCCCAGGTTCCGATCCCGCTAAGGACACGAACCTCGGTTGCGGTTTGTCCCCGGCCCGGTTGGGGTCGTGTGGGTGGCAGCCACTGGATGTGTCTCTCTCACGTCGATGTTTCTCTGTCGCTCTTCCTCCTTCTGTCCCTCTTGCTCTATCTGAAGATGAATGCAAAAATGTCCTCGGATGAGAATAAAATATATATATATATAAATGGGAGTTTCCCAACTGTGCACCAAGGCACCCCAGGATACCCCAGTGAACTCACTCACTCACAGGGGTGTGTAGGAATAGTTTGGATTTTAAATTTCCGAGGGAAACAGCGTGACATCTGTCAGACTCCGTGAAAACCACTACTGTCAACTCGTAGGGACCCATCAGGGTCACACGCAGAACCGTTAGGGTGTCTTCTGCCTAGGGACCCATGAGGAAAACGCCCAAACTCTACAGGCACCAGGAAATGAAGACAAATTTGGCATTGTTTCTTGGTTGCTGTGTCCTGTGTTGGCTGCGGGGGTGCAATGGTTCCAAAACAAAAGGGAGAGAGAGAAGGGGAGGAAGGGCACCCCAGGCAGAGGGAACTGCACGGGCAAAGGCCCCAGGTTAGGACAGATCCGAGTGTAATGGGGGAAGCGCAAGAGACTGAGGATGCACGGAGAGAAGACAGGAGGGAGTGACTGGGAGGAGCCAGGCCGGGATCCAGTAGCTGCCTGTAACCTTCCGCCTCGGGCAGGGTGATGGCAGTGGATGGGGGGGAGGGTGGGGGGGCTGGAAATGGCCCTTTCACTGCATCCAAGGCCTGCGACCTCGTCTCCCCAGGACCACGGGAAGAGCTGACATCTTAAAGTCATGGATTGATCCCTAACAGGGCCTGTGTCGGTGATGGGAGACTACAGACCTGACCCCCAAGTCTGCGTCAAGCTCATCCAAGAGCGCAAGAGCCTGGGGCAAGAGGGCGAGTTCCCCTCCTGCTTCTGGGAGCTGCGACGGGCCTTCCTGGAGCAGCGCCCCGCTCCAGAGCCCCCTCCGCCTTGTCAAGCGCCAGAAGGTACGGGGCGCTGTGCAGCCGGCGGGAGGGGGCATCGAGGGGAGGAGGGGGCGGGGAGGGGAGGAGACAGAACTGGAGGGAAAGGATGAGAGGAGGGAGGGGGAGGAGAAGGGGCAGGGCTTCTAAGTTGCTAACATTTCATGCTCTTCTTTTCTTTCTTTGGCTATAGTGTTTCCAGTTCTTTTAAAGTCTGGATTCGATCCTTGAATATTTAAAATTTTGTGAGTTTATGAGTATTTTCTCTCTCTCTCTCTCTTTTTTTCTGCTGGCCATCACTGTTGGTGGCCCATTTCGTTGCGAGCCTGGTTACTATGTGCCGGGCCATTGCCCTGGAAATTATTTGTGAAACCATTTGAGGCCTTGGATCCTGTGTCTCCCTGCAGAGGGAGTTCTGTTTGCTTCCACAGGCACCTAGGAACCCTTGATGCGCTTCCTCTCGGTCGATTTCCATACTGTCCTCTGGAGGTGGACGCTGTTGTTACCGCTCACTTGGCAGAGGAGGTAAAAAGGCTCCGACCGTTATCCAACCAGAACCAGACACGGGTGGAGCCAGGCCCCGAACCCACATCAGTCAGAATCCACGCCCCAGCCTCGACCAGGGTCAGCGAACATTTTCCATCAACGGCGAGGTAGCCAATAGCTTAGACTCTGTGGGTCAGTGGCACGGGCCCCGCCTCACCTGCGCAGCTGTCCTTGCAGCGTGCAAACCGTCACCGGCCATTCGAAAATGAACGGGCGTGACTTTGCGCCCAGAGAACTGGCTTTACAGAAACAAGCGGGGGCTGCTTTGGGCCACAAAGCTGGACAAACCCATTTTCCTGGCTGTTTTTTTTCTCTCTTCAGTGCAAGGGGAAGCTTGGGCAGCCCCTGCCGCCTCAGTATCGAGAGAACAGACTTCATCACAGCGCAGGGATTTCAGAGCGTCTGGGAGTTAGTCCTGAACTACCAGAAGCTTTGCATCTACTGAACAAAGTATCACAACACGGGACATCCTGTTATCCTCCGTGCCTGCAGAGGCAGCTCGGGAAACACAGGTACTCTGTCCCCCCAGGGCTTAGCTCCCCTCTGCATAGATGCCCCCCCCCCAGATACAGCTGTGGGGCCTTGGAAATGAAGACGTGGGAGGCTTTACGCCTGTTGGTTATCTGCTGCTGCCTGTCCTTGTGCCGGGCACCTTACTGCCATCTGATTTAAACCTCCAAGCCTGTGAGATAGGCACTTTGCTGACTGCTTGACAGATAACTACGGTTCTGAGAGATGAGGACCTGTCGGAACCTGACCGGGAAATGAGTGGAACAGCTGCAGTGTGACTGAACCAACAGCCACGGCGACACTGATAACTCACAGCTGGCGGCACACACATCCTAATAGAACAGTGACGCTTCTTATCATGAGGACCGTGTGCAGGGACCCCTTATTATGCTCCAAGTACTGCGTGGAGCATTTCACGTGGTCTTGGTCCTCACACCACATCCTTTGAGATGGGCACATTCAACTCGCCCCATTTCACAGATGAGGGAAAAGGGCTTAGAGAGCTCAGGTGACCTACCCGAGGGAACACCACTGGTGAAGGACCGAGGTGACATTCAGAGTCAGGTCTGTGAGGCCCAAGTGCCGGGCTCTGTCCCCTGGGGGTCACTGCTCACCTCGGAGGCAGGGCACTCAGGACACCCCAGGGAGCAGAGCCCTGCTGGGCCCTTCCTCCTGCCCAGAGAGTCCCATCCTGCCCCAGGCTGGTGTCTCCCCATTGCAGGAGCATCTGGACTCCTCAGACACGGCCCTGCTCCTCACCTGTCCCTCCAAATGTTGCTCTGTAGGCCTGTGATCCTGGACCCAGCAGACCCCGCAGGAAACCTTGCTGATGGGGAACTAGGTGGCTGGCAGCGGCTGGCACAAGAGGCTAGAGTCTGGCTGTCTTACCCATGCTCTAGGAATCAGGATGGGTCTCCAGTGGGCTCCTGGAAGATACAGGTGAGACCTTCTGCTTCCTCCCTGTTGTCCTCCCCCCTCCCCTCCACACAGCCTGGGGCACATAGCTGGAGACCATCATTTCCACAGAAACCACCGCTCGCTAGAGGGCGCTCACGTTCATAGTTTCAGGCGAGCTCCCTATTTTCCGGTAGCTTTGCAGTCATGTGGACCCCATTCAGAGGGTTCCTAGGATTTTCATATTCTTTGTTCAAATTTCATTCTTTACTTAATGCTGCCTCGGCCAAAGGTCACTTTTTTAACCACCCCGGTTGGCTCAATCTGATAATAATCAACATAGCAACCATGGCTTATTAAATATTTGCTTTGAGCCCAGGTTCCGTCCTAAGCCCTGTAACACACAGTATCTGATTCAGTCTTCTCTATACCGGATGAGGCAGGTTGTCTACCCTCACCTCACAGAGAGAACGAGGCTCAGAGAGCTGAAGCCACCTACTCAAGGGCGTTCAGCGAGGGAGCAGGGGAGCTGGCGTTCAAACCGGCGGAGTCCAGTGCTCATTCCAGTGTGTGAACAACCTGCCTTGCATCCCCCCCTTAGCACCTGACAGACAGGAGGCTCAGAGCGGCTGGGTGCCGTGGGCATGTCACACAGCTAGTAGGGCCAGAAACTCCTGACCTGGGATCCTTCTACTCCCAGGACCAGGGTTTTTCTCATGCTGGGGGATTGGTGATGCCCTGGGGGTCCCCCAGGAAGCAGACTCCGAGAGGGAGTGTGGTGAGCAGGGACCAACACCTGTGGAGTGGAGGGGAAGGAAGCAGGTGTGGGCACAGGGAGACGTCCAGCTGGGCTGCAGCCTAGTGACAGCGTCAGCCCCCCCCCTCAGCCCCCCGGGAACCCTGGAGCTCCAGTGGCCTCCAGAGTCATCCTACAGCAGTCTGAAGGGGTCAGGCCTTTGTACCTGCCACGAATCAGTCCCTGAATGTGGGCGACTTGGCAAGGGGAGTGGCGTTCAGCCAGGGCCTCTCTGCAGCCCAGGCAACCCTGAAGGGGCTGGGGCTAAAGTCTGTTTGCTGATAGCCTCCTCTGCAACCGGATTGCTCCTCCTTCCTCGAGGAGGGTCCAAGTGGCCGGTCACGGAGTCTGCCGCAAATGCCGGGGCGGGGCGACCAGCTCTCCAGTGAGCTCGTGGACTTTACCCTTTACCCTTTCTAAGGAGGCAGCAAAGAGGACTGGAGAGCCTGCGCTCTCAACACCTCTCAGCTCCCCGATGCGGACAGCGACCTGGACCATCGCAGCCACACCGTGCACCTGGCAGAGTCCCCTCCCGGGTGGAAGAGAGCTGAACACCCAGGTCCGGGTCCCAGACAGCTCAGCACAACCCCACACTCCAGAGCGCACTGTAACTATTCAAACTGGCCGGTCCCCAGCTTGCTCACCTGCCTTGCCTTTCCCGTGGGAACTGTGAGAAAGGTTTTTTTGCCCACGTTTTCCCTGGCGGCCCCTGCCTCCAGAACAGCCCTGGTGCGCCCCCGTGTGGCCCTGAGTGGCAACTGTACCTCCTGTTTCCAGGGATCTATGAGTATAAACTTCTTCCTTTGGGACAATATTTATTGCCTTTAACATTAGCAAAATAAATAGTTTGAAAAGGAAAACAACACTCACCAAATCCCTCCCTCTAGCACGTTAAAATTAGGGGCCTGTCTCTCCAACCTCTTCTCTGACTCTGCCTGTCTCCCTGGGGATGTAGTGTTTTCTTTTTCTTTTTTTTTTTTTAAATTTAATTAATTAATTTATTTTTGTTACAGATGTTTCTCCTTTTTCCCCCCAAGTAATGTTTTCCTTTTTTTTTTATCCTCACCCGAGGACATTTTTTCCCATTTTTTGTTCAGATAGAGTGGGAGGAGAGAGAGAGAGAGACATCGACGTAAAAGGGACACATCCAGTGGCTGCCACCCGCATGACCAACCAGGGCCGGGGACAAACTGCAACCGAGGTACATGCCCTTAGCAGGAACCAAACCCGGGTCTCTCTGGACCGCAGGCCGGCACTCTAACCGCTGAGCCAAACCGGCCAGGGACCAAGTAGTGTTTTCTTAAATGGTGTTCTACCCCCTACCCACTCCTGTCTGCCCCGCAGGTTTATGGTAGTTCTCACTCCAGGCCGAGGGGGCATTTTGACGTCGCCTATAAACAGCACTGTTGCAGCCTCACCATGTGGATAATCCACCTGTGTGTCTTCTGAGAGTTTCATGATTATAAACAAGATTCCAGTCATCAGTAGACTAATTGCATTTGAAATTAGTTGCTTAATTGGAAAGCCACAGAGATGATAAGCGCTGATTTTAACTTCTTCAGGAATTCCCATCCTGTTTTCCAGAACAGCTGCACCATTTTGCCTTCCCACCGACAGTGCCCGCCGGTTCCCACTCCTCCACATCCTCCAATCCTTGTGTCCTTTGATTTAAAAAAATTTTTTTTTCCTTTATTGATTTTAGAGAGAGAGGAAGTGAGAGGGAGAGATAGAAACATCGACGAGAGAGTACATTGATTGGCCACCTCCTGCATGCCCCCCACTGGGGATCGGGTGCACAACCTGGGCATGTGCCCTGACTGGGAATCAAACCGGCGGCCTCTTGGTGCATGGGGTCGATGCTCAACCACTGAGCCACGCTGGCTGGACTGTCCTTTGGTTTTTTAAAAAATATATATGGTAGCCATTCTCACAGGTGAGAGGCGATAGCTCGTGCTTTTGATTTGCATTTCCCTGATGCTTAGTGATATTGAGCATCTTTTCATATACCTGTTGGCCGTTTGTATGTCCTGTTCTGGGGAAATGGCTTTTCGAGGGCTTGGCCCATTTTGTAATAGGATTATTCATGTTTTTGTTTTTTTTTAAATTGTTTTGCTATTGACTTCTGGAAGCTCCTTATTATTTTGGAAATTAACCCCGTATCAGATTTATGGTTCACAAGTATTGTCTCCCTTTCCCTCGATCGATTGTTTTGTTTACTGTGCAGAAACTCTTTCATTTGATGTAGCCTCTCTTGCCTGTTTTTGCTTTTGTGACCTGTGCTTTGCACATGTGGTCAACTGAGCTTCAGCCAGGCTGCCGGGAATACCCAGTGGGGAAGGGATATCCCCTCAACAAATGGTGCTGGGAAAACTGGATCTCCATGTGCAAAAGGAGGCTTGGACCCTCACCTTATACCACACACACAAGTCAACTCAAAATGGGTTAAGGACTCAAAGATTAAGTGGATTAAAATACTACCATGTCTTAATTACTATAACTTTAAAATAATTATTAATATCTCATAGAAAAATCTGTTCTCATTTGATCAAAATCCATAGCTTCCCTTGGCCCTTTCTATGTTAATTTTATACTCAATTTGTACAGTCTCACCCAAAATATGGGGAGACATTTGATTGGAGCTACATAAATTAGTGTATGGAGAATGACATCTATATAAAATTGAGAATCCCGATCCATGAAGTTGGACTTTCTTTCCATTAATGTTTGTCTTCTTTAATGGCTATATGACTAAGTTACAGAATTTTCCCCTGGACAGGTTATTCATGTACTTTGTCATATTATTCTTAGATATTTGTTTCTGTGTTATTGCACTTAGTGTGTTTTCTTTCATTTCATTTTTTAATGGTTGATTCCCAGAAGAGCTAAATGTTTTAGGTGTGTGTATCTGAGTATAGCATTATGAGTGGTCTTTATACTCCCTGAGTTTTCTGATTTTATATAAATTTCAACTTGTATTGCTTGAATGACCACAATAAATAACTAAATAAGTAAAGCAATTTTTCTTGCAAAAAACTGTTTTTATTAAGAATTTCTCTCAGCTAAGCTCCGATGGTTTGTGAAAAGCCAGCAAGCCGGGGTTCTAGAAAGCTCTGAGGAGCTGGTATTTGGAGTTGCTGGTTCAAGGCAAATTCATGAGATCTGGAAACAAAGGAGCATGTGTGTAAGGGATGGTGGACATCAAAGCGCCTAAGGCACACATTCCTGGAACCCCAGAGATAAGGCCACTTTCTGGGTAACTTCCTGCCGGGGAAATGAAACTGAGAAGATACAAGAGTTCGCCAGCAGAGATGAGGGTGGAGAATAGAACAGTCCATGAGAGATAACGTGTCGCGTGAAGTTTGAGGTCCAGGGTTGATGGGGAACCCTAGGAAGCTCAGCTTCATGCTGAGGTCCATCCAGCTCCACCGGATTTGAAGTACTACCACCTTCAAGGCCCTGCCTAAGCCTTCTCAGGTCCCCTCCTCCTCCTCCTCCTCCCACAGACCCCTCCCAGCTACCCCTCCTCCTCCTCCTCCCACAGACCCCTCCCAGGTCCCCTCCTCCTCCTCCTCCTCCCACAGACCCCTCCCAGCTACCCCTCCTCCTCCTCCTCCCACAGACCCCTCCCAGCTACCCTCCTCCTCCTCCTCCTCCCACAGACCCCTCCCAGGTCCCCTCCTCCTCCTCCTCCTCCTACAGACCCCTCCCAGGTCCCCTCCTCCACCTCCTCCCACAGACCCCTCCCAGGTCCCCTCCTCCACCTCCTCCTCCTACAGACCCCTCCCAGGTCCCCTCCTCCTCCTCCTCCTCCTACAGACCCCTCCCAGGTCCCCTCCTCCACCTCCTCCCACAGACCACTCCCAGATACCCTCCTCCTCCCCTCATCCCCACAGGGACCCTCCCAGGTCCCTCTCCTCTCCTCCCCCACACCAACGACCCCTCCCAGGCTACCCCTCCTCCATCCTCCTCCTCCCACAGACCCCTCCCAGTTCCCCCATCCCTCCCTCCTCCTCCCACAGACAACTCCCAGCTACCCCTCCTCCTCCCTCCTCTCCACAGACCCCTCCCAGGTCCCTCTCCTCCTCCCACAGACCCCCTCCCAGCTACCCCTCTTCCTCCTCCTCCCACAGACCCCTCCCAGGTCCCCTCCTCCTCCTCCTCCCACAGACCCCTCCCAGCTACCCCTCCTCCTCCTCTTCCCACAGACCCCTCCCAGGTCCCCTCCTCCTCCTCCTCCCACAGACCCCTCCCAGCTGCCCTCCTCCTTCTCTCCTCTTGTCCCCTCCCTGCACACCCCTCACCTTTTCTGTGAGATGCCAAGGAGCTCTGGAGCCCCCCAGATCCCTTCCAACCCTGCATAGGTAACTTCTTCCTCCTCGTTTCCTCCTCTATCCAGCCTCATATGTCTCTCGGGTGTCTCATAGGGTCCAGCAACATTATTAATTGTTTTCCTCTCTTTCTTGTACTTCCAGCGGTCTGGGGTGGAGTGGAAGGCTTGGACGTGGGTTCAGTCCACCAACTGGACCCAATCTTGACTCTCCTGCTTTCTGCTTTCTAAAAAGTCCTCACATTTTCTGGGTCCTCGATGGCACCTTCTCCATTTTCAACCAGCTGAGTTGCATGATACTTTAAATATATATTTGTTGCCTGGCTGGAGTAGTTCTGTTGCTTGAACGTTGTCTTGTGTGTCAAAAGATTGCCAGTTCGATTCCCAGTCAGAGCACATACCTGGGTTGTGTGTTTGATTCCCAGTTGGGGCTCAGATGGAAGGCAACCAATCAATATTCTCTCTCACATTGATGCCCACCCCTTCCTCTATCTACGCATGCCCTTGGATGAGGATTTTTTAAAAAGTAAATATCTTTGCAGTAGGATCTCAAGTGTACATTCAGTCCCCTATCTCAAACAGAAGAGTTCTAAAGTGACCTGTGAATCGGGGAGATGACAGGACTCTATGGGTGCAGGCACCTGGCTTGAATACCCTTCACAACCTCTAACCTATAATCCAGTCTTCCTCCTATACTTGAATGCCCCCAGTGACGTGGCACTCACTACTCAAGATATAAACTTACACAACTGGTAACCTACCATCTGTCCCTCTGACCCCTAGCATCTCCTTTCAGTGAAAGCAGACTTTAGCAAGCTCTTGTCAAGATTAACTGTTCCCTGAGGTTTGCTCAGAGGCAGAGTAAATGCTGGGTCCTTGAGTGATGGGGCAGAGGACTAATGAGTTTCTGAGTGAGATAGGGAGGAGGGTGGGCCCTGGCACTTGTCATACCCCAGCAAGAGCAGAAAAGCCAAGCAGCGGAAAAGCGAGGGTCCCGGCCCTGAAGCTGGAAAGAGCAGTGGGCTACCGTGGGGGTTCATGTGTGCACTCTGCAGCTTCCTCTTCCAGCTGCCTGGTTTTGTGCCGGTCCCCAAAGGATTGAAGCCCCGTAGCTTTATACTGTTTTAGGATGTGATATTGTGTGAAAGGTGCCATTGGAAGCTGCCTTTCCTTTCTCATTTCTCCTCTTTAAAAAAAAAATCTTGGAGACGCTGGTTGGCTCTGCTCTGGCTGCGTCGGGGTTCGCCGGGCCCGAAGCCGGGTCCCAACCTGGCTTCCCGGAATGTCAGTGGCCTTCGTACCCGACTGGCTGAGAGGCGAGGCGCAAGTCGACTAGGGGACAGTCCAGCGGCTCCTGGAGCAGGAGGACCAGCTAATCCGCTGTACCGCGGAGTATCGGAGCGAAGGCCGGGCGAATGCGTGTGCCCAGGACCGGCATGTGTTACATAGAAATCTCATTTATTTGGCTACCAATGCAGATGCCAACCCTGCCAGTCCTCCAGAATAATGGAATAAGCCGCCTCGCTGTGGTGAGGGGTAATGGAATGTAACCCACTCCGTGTGAAAAGGAGCCAGGATCTTGACCAACTCAGCTGCTGCAAACAGGAAGGACATCTCCGGCTCTTCTTAAAGGAAATGCGAAGAAAGCTACTACATTAGCTGTATTTCAGTGTGAATATTTATTTTCATTATGAAGCAGATTCCCTCAATTAAGTTGCCTCCAGGCATTTTCCTTCCTGAAATATGTGTGTCCGGATAACAGAGGTGTCCTGGGCATCTTCAAACCTGCTTTCTTAGTTTCAGCCTGAGGAGGACACTGAGCTTGGCCATCAGTAGGGACCGGGGAGGCTCCAGCTGAGACCCTGCCCGCTGAACATGTAGCTGCGTTCTCACCGGTTTGAGGTTCTCGACCCCTGACTGCTCTTTTCCGAAATAAAGTTTGTCTTTCCAGAAAAGACTGATAAAAAATAAACAAATAAATAGAAATAAACCTTCATTCTGAGACACTTTAGAAGTGTTCAAAAATGGGATTTTGATCGGAATTGCATTGAATGTCTCAGGAAGAGTGGGCCCCGTAAGACTAGAACTTGCGGCGAGAGCCTGCGCGAACCGGTTCCAGGTCCAGTCTGACAACTTCCCAGCGGTTGACCTCGGACAAGCAAGAGGTGTGGATTCTCTGCACCTCACCCTTCTCACCGGACACGCACTTCCGACCTGGCGATCGGGAGGATTAAAGGGGACGGTGTGTGTCAGGCGGTGCAGGACAAGCGCTCGGGCATTGCGCCAGGCAGAGGCGCTCTGCTGCTGTGGGTCTCAGGAGCGTTTCCCCGCGGAAACCCTGCGCGTTTCTTACGTGCTCTGTGCCCACGCTGTGCCCTGCGGACCTGCTGCTGCAAAGGCATTGCTCCATCGTGTTCAGTGCATCGGGGCGGAGCCCAGGGAAGGGGGACCGGTGCCGGGACAGGAGAGGCCAAGCAGGGGGAAGGGAACCGAAAGCGAAAGCAAGGGCCCAGAGCCGCGAAACCGAAACGAAACTGAAAGTCCCGAGAGGATGCAGGAAAGTGGGGAAGCTGGGGGAGACCGGCTCAGGAGCATCCTTTCCTCTCCCCACGCGGGGCGCAGGACCGGGACGGGGCGCTGCGGGCACCTGGGACAGGCAGACCCTGGGCTGCAAACCCAGGGGCGGAGAGCGCATAGGAGCCCACAGCCCCCACGCAGAACCCCCGGCACCTGCGCCCCGACGGCATGGACGTGTACCGCACCCCCGCCGCCTCGCTGGACGCCCTGGTGGTCGGCAGCCTGCAGCTGCCAGCCGAGTTCGTGGGGACCACGCGGCGCGCCCTGGGCACCCTGGAAACTGCCCTGAGAGAGTGTGGAAGCCGCCCCGGACCCGGAGCTGCTGCCCCGCCGTGGCGGGTGCTGAAAACAGCCAAGGTGGGCTCGCGGGGGGCTGGGGCGACCTCAGGGTCTCCGCTTGTAAATGGGGGCAATCCTTGGAGGACGCTGGGCACATTGAGATAGGGCATGGGGACAGGGAGCGACTTTATCAGCCTTTTCTTCATTTCTTTAACACTTATATAGTATACTTACTATGCTCAGGGCAGTTCAAAGTGTCCCTAAAATATACTACTGCTGAAAACACCTCTGTGAGGTAGGTACTATTTACCCTCCCTTGACAGATGGGGAAACTAAGGCACAGAGAGGAGAAGTAACTAATTCAAGCCTGTAAGAAGTCCAGTCAGGATTCAAAGCCAGGTAGTCTGATTCCTGAATCTATGCTGCTAAGGGCTGCCTCTCATTCATTCATTCATTCATTCATTCATTCATGCATGCATTCTTCACCCACTCACTAATTTACCTGGGCAAACAGACTATGGGTCTCACGCTATGCCTGCCTCTAAGGATGCAGATATAATAATTCTCTAGAATAGCCATAACAGCCCAGTTTACTGAGAAATGGACCAAACAACAATGAACATTGTCTCATTAAATGAGTTTTATCCAATTGAATCTTCACATTTAGTGTGGCGGAAATCACTGTCCCTGTTTAATGGGTAACTGAGATTGAGTCACTTTTTGTCCCACTGATACTGAACTCAGGATGTCCGCAGGCTCAGGGAGGAGAGAGGCGTCAGCTACTGTATCCTCAAGGTAAACTCCAGGCGCTGGGGTGGCCCCAGGAAACCTGGGTGGGATAGAGGGGGCCCTGAGGTTTATCAGGGGAAGAGATGAAACAGTGGGAGATGTCCTTAGAGCAGCTAGTGGTTTCCTAGGGCTGAATCTCAGCTTGGGCGACAGGAAAGGAGGGGGAGAGACTTGTAGCCTAGATGTGGGGATGGATTTCTGCCTTTGAGATGACAGGGGGATTTCTGCAGAACCAGAATCCAAGGATCTCTAGAGCTCTGGCATCCTTAGCTTTTTGGAAAACCTGGAACAGCTTTCTTTTTCTTTTTTTTTTTTTTTTAATCCTCACCCGAGGACATTTTTGCATTTATCTTCAGAGAGAGCAGGAGGGAGAGAGGGAGAAAGAGAGAGAGAGAAACATCGATACGAAAGAGACACATCGAGTGGTTGCCACCCACGCAACCCCAACCGGGGCCCGGGACAAACTGCAACCGAGGTACGTGCCCTTAGAACCGAACCCAGGACTCTCCGGTCTGCGGGTCGACTCTCCAGCGGCTGAGCCAAACCGGGCAGGGCTGGCACAACATTCATAGTTGAATTGAGCTGATGGCCTTCCGGTCACTTGAGGCTTTGAAGGAGGCCATGGCGAAATGGATAGGAGTATGGGCTTCATTTCCGATCTGTAGGGCTGGCTGATTGCAGGGCTGGAGTGACAGACCCAAGGTGAGCCTGGGTGCTTTCGGATGGACCAGAAAGCAAAGACTTAGGGATCCTAGTAGGACCCCACCCCCACCATGGCCAACGTGTAGGGGCTCCCCTGCTCAGTTTTTTTTTTTTTTTTTTTATCCTCACCCGAGGATATTTTTCCATTGTTTGTACAGATAGAGTGGGAGGGAGAGAGAGAGAGAAACATCGACGTGAAGGGACACATCAAGTGGCTGCCACCCACACGACCAACCAGGGCCGGGGACAAACTGCAACCGAAGTATGTGCCCTTAGCGGGAACCGAACCCGGGTCTCTCCGGACCGCAGGCCGATGCTCTAACCGCTGAGCCAAACCGGCCAGGGCTCCCCTGCTCAGTTTTGACTACCAAAAATATCTTCTGACGTTGCCAGATGTCCCCTGGGGCACAGTCGCTCACCACCGGGATCACCACTTTAGAGATGCCTATGAAAAACATATGTGGGTGAAATGACACGTTGGCTGGAATTTCTTCACGTACCAAGGAAAAAAGGGCTCCAACAAATGAGCAAATGTGGCAAAGACTTCTTGAAAATCCTCTCCTCTTTTGTGTAGGTTTGGACACTTTCATAATAAAAATGATTTTAAGTGGATTAACTTGCCGGGGGGTGGTGTGTGGATTTGGGGTGTGACTCTGGTTTCAAATCACCAGACTGCCTCTCCTGACTCAGGGGTCATGAGCAAGTGTGACCTCCCTGCACTTTCGTTTTCTCATTTGCGAGTTGAGAGTGTTCATAGCACTTTCCAACAGGTTTGTCAGGAAGGCTCAGTGAGGTGATCGTGGGCAAAAACGTGAAAGAAATGCTCAGTCTGATAGTCCCCTGTGTTCTGCCCCTTTGTTGACAGCCCTGGGTTGTGGGGTTGTGCGGGGTTGGCAGTAAATGAAATGAGTTAACACCGGGATAGGTTGCAGTCCCTGTTGGGTGGGGAGATGCCCACAGAGAGCTGATCCGGGTTCTTTTTTTTAATCCTCACCTGAGGACATTCTTTTCCATTTTTTGTTCAGATAGAGTGGGAGGGGGGAAGAGAGAGAGAGAGAGAGAAATATCGGCATGAAAGGCACACATCAAGTGGCTGCCACCCGCACAACCGACCAGGGCCGGGGACAAACTGCAACCGAGGTACATGCCCTTAGCGGGAACCGAACCCGGGTCTTTCTGGACCTCAGGCCACCGCTCTAACCGGCCGGGGCTGATCCGGGTTCTTGCTCCCCCTGGCTGTTCTCACTCACGCCACCGCCCTCAGTGTCATTCACTTCGCTGCTCTGAGCCTCTCCTGACATCTGTGACCGCGCATGACCACGCGTAACCACACCGGGTTGTTGCCTGTAGAAAGTGAGATCTCAGGTGCCAGACATTTGACAGAGCACCAGGCACAGAACAGAAACCCCAGTAATGCGCACGTCCTTTCTGATCCCTCGCACCAGCAGCTTTGCAGAAAGAACGCTGGTCAGCAAAGTCTCAGAAATTCAGCAAATTCAATAAGTGCTTTGTACTGACGCCGGGCAAGGGTCACGAGCATTCGTTCTGGCAACCAGAATCCGTTTCACCTAGTTTTAATTTTTTCGTTTGTTTTTAAGTTCATTGCCAAGATTTAGAAATCATGGATTTACATATAAAAATGGCTTTTCTCGAAACTCAGACCTGGCCGCCCTTGGTCTGCATGTCTGTGTGGCTTCAGCTGGCAGGAGCTGTGTGGCCACAGTCCCCACCCAGCCCACATATCTCACTCAGGCTGCCTGCCAGCCCACGTGGGCACGAGAATTGGAGAGGGCAGAATTCTGAATCGTTGTTTTCTCTTCACAGGGAGGCTCCTTCGGCCGGGGCACAGCTCTGAGGGGTGGCTGTGATTCCGAAATTGTCGTCTTTCTCAACTGCTTCAAGAGCTACGAGGACCAGCGGGCTCGGCGAGCAGAGACCCTCACGGAGATGCGGGCGCTGCTGGAGTCCTGGCGGCAGAGCCCGGTCCCTGGTCTGAGCCTGGAGTTTCTTCAGCAGGACACCCCCGGGGTCCTCCAGTTCCGACTGGCATCCGCAGACCTTGAAAACTGGATGGATGTTAGCTTGGCGCCCGCCTTTGATGCTCTAGGTGAGGGGTGCCTGGCCTGTTCCAGGGTTGGGCGAGATCACGGGGAGTCAGTCAGGGCTAACAGTTCGAGTCCTGCCGCCAACTTGCTGTGTGACCTGGGTCATCTCTCTAGGCTTCAGCTTCTTGACTAAACTAGTTGGGTTTGGACCAGACGAGGGCCCAGAGGGCCCAGATCATCCTGGATCTGTGGTCCTGGAGCCAAGGCGCTTGGCCCTTGCTCACACTGGGGAGATTTTCCTTCAGCCACTGCCTCGTGCCGTGTGGCTCCGCCCTTTCATACACCCCGAGGACACAGCAGATGGACACATGCCGACAGCAGGGCTCTGGGGACAGGCCAGAACTCTGCAAAATCTTGTATTTTATCTTAAAAACATCAATGTGATTTTGCACTCTCCTTTGTAATATACCTATGCTTGATTTAATACAATAATACACCTCTGTCTACATCTGTAAAATACAGATAATAATTATAGAACAAAGTAGTTTGCTCTGGAAAGACTATGCATTAATACATGCAATGGCCTGGCCGGTGTGGCTCAGTGGTTGAGCATCGACCCTGCACCAAGACGTTGCTGGTTCGATTCCCGGTCAGGGCACATGCCCAGGTTGTGGGCCTGATCCCCAGTGAGGGGCATGCAGTGGGGGGCCAATCGATGTCTCTCTTGATATTTCTATCTCTCTCTTTCTCTTTCTTTCTCTCTCTTAAAAAAAAAAAATCAATAAAGGAAAAAAATACCTGTAATGCACTTAGAACTGGCACATGATGGAGCTATCTGAGAGCTTGCTATTCTTATTTCATTCTTATTTTTCTTTTATTTTCATCATCATTATCATTTACCATGATGCTCTGGAGAAGAGCTGTCTTGAGTTTACCCAGGGTGATGATGTCCCAGCAGACAGCCACACTTTCCACACCTGCCTGCCACCCTATTACTAGTCATAGTAGCTACTCCCTATTAAATGCTTCACTAGTCCAAGCATTTGACATGTCTTATCTCATGAACTCCTCAAAACAAACCTGGAAGGCCTGTCCTGTCTTATCTTCCACTTTACCAATAGGGACGCTGAGGCACAGAGACATACAGTCACTTGCCCAAAGTCACACAGCAAGTCAGTGATGTCAGGAACCTAGGAAGTTATGGAGAGGGTTTACTTTTCCCGAGCCAGGCCCAGGAGAGGTGGGCACCTACTATAAAGCCAGCCAGCTCTGTGTTCCAGTCCTGTCTCCAGCTAGATCACCTGGGGCAGAGCACTGAATTTCTCTGTGCCTCGGTTTCTACAGCTATTAAGTGAGGTGAAAAATTGGAGGGTTTTCGTGGGGGTACAATGAGGAGATTCTGTAAAACTTTTGGCACAGTGCCTGGCATGTTGCAACTGCTCAAAAAATATTAGTCATCACTGCTAAGGAATCGGCACCTCTTGCCTCATATTTCTCTGGCATCATTTCTTCTGGGCATGGTGCCAATTAGTTAAAGGTATGTGCAGTGGTAGTTTAGTATGGCCTGAGGGGAGCCTCGGGGAGGAAAGCATTGCCAGCCTATAGGACGCCCCACTCACCAGGAAGCATCTCCCTTGTTTAACCTGGGAATGAGGCTGCACTTCTTCCGCCGACCGCTGGGGGCGGCTGGCCATCTGGGAGGAAGGAACCTTCCCTTCTGGTCCAGAGCTTCCCTCCCTCCCTCCTGAGAAACGCCAGGCTCTCCTCCTCTGTCCTAGTGCCCATGCAAGTGTACCCCCGCCCCCTCAAACCCTCCTCAGTCTCTCCCAGCACCCCAAGCTGAGCTCAGCACCAACACTGCTCTCCATCCTGAGTTCTCAGCACCCTTCCTCACTCACTGGCGTTCACATCCGCAGGGCAGCTCAGCTCCGGCACCAAACCTGACCCCCAGATCTACTCGACCCTTCTGGACAGCGGCTGCCAGGACGGTGAGCACGCGGCCTGCTTCGCAGAGCTGCGGAGGAACTTCACGAACACTCGGCCAACCAAGCTGAAGAACCTGATCCTGCTGGTGAAGCACTGGTACCGCCAGGTGAGGCCACCAGGGAGGGTCCTTGCTTCACGCATGTGACCGTGTGATTGGTGCCTCTGTGAAGAATAGTTCTCGTGTGTTGCAGCCACTCATGTTTCTCTTTCTGGGAATTGTCTCTTCCTATAATTTGCCCATTGTTTTCTACTGGGTTAGCTGCCTTATTGTTGTTGAATGGTCGGCGCTCTTTATATATTGTGGGTGCTGGTTTTTATTTCGTTAACGCAATGCAAATCTACTCTCCCTGTCTGTGGCTTGTGTACTTTCACTTTGTTTATGGGTCTTTCTGTCACAGAAAATGTTTGTATTTTAATGTAATCAGTGGTGCTTCTCTTTTGCTTATGTGATGTGAGCTTTATGTGTCTTGTTTAAGGAGCCTTGGCCTGTTCCGACTTTCTAAAAGTATTCTCCTGTGTTTCCTCCCAAAGGTTTTAAGACTTTCTTTTCATATTTCGGGCTTTGAAATGATCTGGAATGTTTTATGTACAATATGAAGTATGTGGAGTTAGTAGCCCTCCTACCCCAGCCTCAGAAATGCCCCTCCCCCCCCAGCACTGTTCATGAATGTTGATATACTGTTGTGTCCTGGGGAAGGGGTGTTTAGCCTGTGATTGGAGAAGAAGGAACAAACTACCCCAAATCTCAGGGCAGGTGGCTTGGTCCTTCCTTGGGACCACTCATCTAAAGCAGGTCTGGATGAGGAGGTCCCGGATGCCAGTTCTGCTCAGCGCAGAACTGCTGTGTGACCCAGGGCAAGTTCTGCTGTGTTCTTCCTTGGGGGATCACAGTCTCAGACTACCCAATGGCCTCTCTCTGACTGTGCCCCCCTCATGGGGGCTTGAATCTCATACCTCTCCCTCCCCCACCACCATATGAGCCAATCACATTGCTGAATCCCCGGCAGCGAGGGTCATGAGAGACATCAGGTTGCTTTTGGAACAGGCTGGGAACACAGATCCATCCCAGGCTCAGCCTGCTGGTCTCCACCCCGGACACTGAGAGATCAGCAAACTTCCACAGAGACCAGCTCCCCACACCCTTTCATCCTCTGAGCCCCTGCTCTGTCCTCTTCCAGGTGTGCCCACAGGAGAGAAGGAGGGAGATGCCCCCCGACTATGCCCTGGAGCTGCTGACCATCTTCGCCTGGGAGAAGGGCTGCGGGAAGGATGCCTTCAGCCTGGCCCAAGGCCTCCGGACCGTCCTGGGCCTGATACAGCAGCATCAGCACCTGCGAGTGTTTTGGACCACGAACTACGGCTTCGAGGACCCTGCAGTTAAGAAGTTCTTGCTTCGCCAGCTTGACAGACCTAGGTACCTCCTTCTACCCCACCCCCCGCTTCCCTGTGCCTGTGCCATGGGGAGACAATTAGCAGATAAACCAGGTCGTATCCAGTGAGAGCCAGCATCAATGTGACATTCAGTGGATTCGGCCCCAGAAGCAAATGAGAATTACTTGGGGGCGTTTCACAAAGAAACAACACACCACCTGTTTTGTGCACAAACGTTTTAGTGACGTGTAACACATTTTGATCACTTCCAATGAAGTGACCAGACCTGTGAAACCCCGACTTGATCAGGCAGAATATTCCAGCACCCAGGACCTTTCTTGGTGCCGCTCCCAGAGGGAACCCCACTCTGCCTGTTCTCATTCCAGTCCTGCTTTTGAATCATTGAGACAGACCGGCATGGACTACTGTGTCTGCCTTCTCCGTCCCAATGGAGTCTTTGAGATTCCTGCAGTTGTGGCTCCTTCTCTTGCACTGCTGAATAGTGTCACATCGTGTGACTTTGTCGCAGTCTGTTTTCCATCCCATTCATGACGTGTCTTTGGCTGGTGCCCACTCTGGGGCTGTTACAAACAGGGCTGTGATCGTCGGCCTCGTATTTCAGCGGACGCACGTCAGTCTTGGACTTCTACCTCGCATGCAATTGCTAAGCCATAGGGTGTCACTCAGAGATCCAGGGCTGGGTCCTGGGATCTTGCGATGCTAACGTGCAGCTGGAGTTGAAGATCGTTGCGCTCATTCGATTTCGGCACCAGCCCATCCCATCAGGCAGGGCTGTCATCCCCATTTTGAAAATGAGGAAACCGAGGCTCAGGGAAGTCAGTCGCCTGCCTCTGGTCACACGGCTGGAAAGCAGCAGTTGAGACCAGGTCAGCCTCACTCCAGAGCCCGTCGTCTTGAGCACCGTGCTAACCAGAATCTTCTTGTCCCTCTGGTTGGCAGGCCTGTGATCCTGGACCCGGCTGACCCGTCGTGGGACGTGGGGAACGGGGCTGCCTGGCACTGGGACCTGCTGGCCCGAGAGGCAGAGTCCTGCTATGACAGCCCATGTTTTCTGCAGGCAGCAGGGGGCGCTGTGCAGCCCTGGGAGGTGCCGGTGAGTGCGGGGCTCCTGGTATCCTTGGGTTTTACACCTAATGTATGTGCTCAGTATTTTCTGAGCATCTGCTGTGCACTGGGGGCCAGGGGACGTGGGACAGAGTTGAAAAGGTGGGGACCGCAGGCATGTAAAACAATCTAATCCCCAATCTCTGTGTAGTTACTGTCTGCGTACCAACCTGAGTTTGCCCACCACAGGGGGACCTTTTTATAATCTATCCCCTTCATAAAGGCACCTGTTCTAATGCACACAGAGGTGTCATATGGGCGACCTCTCCCTCCCCATCTTGAAGCCTCAGTCACCCTGACTATAGGACGGGAGGGGGCTGGCCCGGGAAGGAACGTAGAAACCGTTGCCCGTGTGAGACGGCTTCTCCAACACACCTCTAGGGCCTTCCGCTCACTGCTCCCCCCATCCTGCGAGACCCTGCCCAGAAGACCCCCGAGGACAGCAGCAGTCTTGATGCCGTGCATCCCAGGGCGGGGAACGGGCAGCCCTCATGCCCAGACCCCGACCCCTCAGTGGTGGCCGCCATCGCCCCCTGCGCCCTGGAGGTGGTCTCGGATCTGTCCCAGATCCCCGCCAGGGAGCTGGATCGTTTCATCCAGGACCACCTCAAGCCGCAACCCCAGTTCCAGAAGCAGGTGAGCAAGGCCTTCGACGTCATCCTGAGCTGCCTCCGTGAGAACGGCGCCCACAAGGCCTCCAGAGTCAGCAAGGTGAGTCCGGCAGGTGGAGACACTGCGGGGACCCTGTGGGAGGGACCACAGTGGGGACAGGAAGACGTCGGAGAGATACAGCTGAGGGGGGACCAAGGAAGTAGACATCCTTGGAGGGCGGTTTGCTGGCTGGAGGAATGTATTTAAGACTAGCTGCTTTTTCTTTTTAATGAGTTGTTTTTAATCACCGTTTCCATAGTCAGATCACTTCCTTCTCTGCCCCAAATCCTCCAGGGTGTCAGAGCATAGTGGCCTCAAGGCCCGTGGGATTTGGCCCCGGTCTCTCTCTGACCCTCACTCACTCCATGGCGGCCCCCTGACTGCTTCCTGAGCTCACCAGGCACACCACATCCCCGTGGGCTGTTTCCTCTTTTTGGAACGTTCTTCCCCATCCACTTGGCTCTCTCCCTCTCCTCCTTTAAGTCTATGATCCAAGTCCCCTTCTCAAGGAGGCCCGACTGACTGCTCGAGTTACAGTTACAACTTCCGCTCCACTGCAGGTCCCTTATTCTTGGCCTCCACGTAGGGCGGCCATTGTTTTCTGATGGTCCCTGTCTCCCCTCCCCCTCCCTCGCCCCTGGTACAATATAAGTTCCAGGAGAATAAGTAATGTTATCCGCTCCCATACCCATATATGCAATTGCACAATAAATATCTGTTGAATGCATGAATGAATGCATGCATGGGTGGATTGTTTCATTGTTTGATTGATTGATTGATTGACTGATTGATTGAAACAGGCCAGAGTACATCTGCAGACCCCTATGGGGCCCAGGACCCCAATTTACAACCTGTGATCCAGATGTGCAGTCAGTAGGTGCTGCAGATGTTTGGCTAAATATCTTTGAGCACTGCCCCGACTTCGCCCCTCATCCCCAACCACCCCTCTTATCTGCGGCTGCATATTGTCTGACCTTGGGCAGGCTTCATGGGTCGGTGGACGGATGCGGGCAGATGTAGTCTGACTCCACCAGGCTTCTGATGGTCAGAGGTCACAGGGTTTATGCAGCCTGCACCTGTCATGGTCCCCCAAGAGCTACTATCAGTGAGAGGGCAGTTTCAGGGCTGCAGACGGGGGGCTGCTGGCGGGGTCACAGTCGGACTCCCGGGCTCAGAGTTACTAGTCTGAGATGGTCTCTTGTCCGCAGGGGGGCTCATTCGGCCGCGGCACAGACCTGAGGGGTGGCTGTGATGCCGAACTCATTGTCTTCCTCAACTGCTTCAAGAACTACAAGGACCAGGGGCCCCTCTGCGCAGAGGTCCTCCGTGACCTGCGGGCACAGCTGGAGTCCTGTGGGCAGGAGCCGGTACCCGGCCTGACCCTGAAGTTTGCAGCGCAGACCACGACCAAGGCTTTGCGGTTTCAGCTAGTGTCCTCGGCCCTCAAAAGCTGGATGGATGTCAGCCTGCTGCCCGTCTTTGATGCCGTGGGTGAGGGTGCCCAGCTTGTGCTCAGAGGGACCAGGGAGCATCTCATGGGGCGCTTGCGTCCCTCTTTGTGACCCTAATTCCCCTACTTCACCAAGCTCTGGCAACTACCATGAGATACCTAAAGTCATCCTCATCATCAATTCATAACTATGTAGTGCTTTTCACTTTGCAAAATTCTTAATAATGTTTCAAACATTCAAAAAACTATAGACATCACACACCCATGTACTTCGATTACCATGTAACAAGTGTTAACAATTCTCCTTATCAGCTTGGGATTTTATTTTTTTAAGAAATTACATGCCATTTCCTTTCTTATTTTGAAGAGTTTACTTTATGGTTAATTTTCTAACTTATTTAGCTAAATCTAAGTCTTCACAAGTGCAATTAAGGTTATACACGTTCCTCTAAAGTGTCACATCAGCTTCATTGCAAATGCTTTGTATCTATAATTTTTAGTATCGCTCTTTTAGAGCTAAATATCCTGTACCTTTCTTTTCTTTTTTTGGTACGTGTTCCTAGCAGGAACCGAACCCGGGACTCTCTAGTCCGCAGGCCCACTCTCCAAGCGCTGAGCCAAACTGGCAAGGGCTAAATATTCTGTACTTTTAATTATGACATTATGATTTGTTCTTTTACCCCTGAATATTTGGAAGTGGGTTTCCAAGTGGATGTTTTGGTCTTTTGTTCATTTGTGTGCCTTGGACAGTTATCATTTTCTTTTTTTCACATGATAGTTGACGTATAGTATTATATTAGTTTCAGGAGTACAACATAGACATACATACACATACCATAAGAAGTGTTCAGCCTGATAAGCCTAGTATACATCTGACAACATACATACTTATTACAATATTATTGGCTATATTTCCTGTGTAGTCTTTTTCTATTTTTAACTGTAGTCAGAAAACATACCCCCAAAATATCAATTCTTTGGAATTTGATGGCACTTCCTCGGTTCCCCATGGTCGTAAAGGATGCAGGCTTTCCGTTGTTGAGAGTTGGCTTCTGTACAGGTCCTTCAGAGCCAGCTCATGATATTTGTTTGGATCTATAGTACTTACTTATTGCTTATTTGGTCTATCAATTTATGAGTGGAATATCAGAATCTTCTGCTCTGAATTACAAGTTTCTCCTTGTAATTCTGGAAAGTTTTGATTTTAATCTTTTGAGGCTATGTTATTAAGGAATGTGTAAGTATATAATTATATTTTTATTGGATTGTTCCTTTTATCATTAAGTAATAATCCTCATTATTGCTCAAAACATTTATTTGCCCTAAAGCCTTTTGTCTAATATTAATAGAGTTGCACTGATCTTTTAGTAGTGTTTTCCAGAGACACCAGTTTCTACTTTTTTTATTTGTAAGGATAAGTTATTTAATTTTAATTGTACCTTTTATTAGTAAGGTAAAACTAGAAGACAAAAATGGAACCAACAATACTATAATCATATGAGAGATTAATACTATATTAGAACTAATACATAAGACACTAACATTAAGAATGATTATTTTCATTTGCTTTTGTTTTTATACAGTCTATGCAAATCAAAATCTATGCACATAATTAGCAGGATTCTGTCCCCTCGCCATTACTTCTTCATTTCCAGTTCTTCCTTCTGGATTCATTTCCTTCTTACAGAAATACATCCTGTGGCACTGTTTTCAGAAAGGGTTTATGAGTGATCGGTTTTCTCAAACTTCATCCTAAAAAACCTTTTGTTTCAGCTACACTCTTGGAGGAAATGGTTGACATTTGTTTTTTCAGTTTCTACTGTCTTCTGACCTTTATAGTTGTTGATGAAAAGTCGGCTGTTTACTTCTTTTTTGGTGTGTGTGTGTGTGTCTTGTTTTATTTTGTAGCTTTTCTTTCTTTCTTTCTTTCTCTTTCTCTTTCTTTCTTTCTTTCTTTCTTTCTTTCTTTCTTTCTTTGTTTCTTTCTTTCTTTCTTCATTCATTCATTCATTTTTTTTTGTAGCTTTTAGGACTTTCCTTAGTCTATAGCATCCTTCAGTTTCTAATATGTTTGTATATTGACTTCTTTTCATTATACTATTTGGAATTTGTTGTGCTGGTTGGATCTGAGGACTCAATTCTTCATTTAGTTTTGGGAAAATGTCTTCCAGTATCTCTTTGATTATCACCTCCCCCCTGTTTTCTCTCTTCTCTACTTCTGGAACTACTATGAAATGGTGTCTCACTTCATCCTCCATGTCCCATGTCTCTCGTTTTTCCCATCTCTCAGGCTGCCTGCTGCTCGGTTGCTCAAGTCTACGTTCCAGTGTACTTTCTTCAAATGTGTCTGATCTGCTGCCTAACCTTAATTTTTTTTAAAACCCCAGTAACTTTACTTCTCACTTTGAGAAGTTCTATTAGCTATTTCTCTAGTCAACCTGTTATTTGCTCATAGGCTGCTATACTTTCGTTGTGGCTTCAGTGTCTTTTTCTCTCTTTAATTATGCTTATTTTAGTCCCTCAGATTGGCCTATTTTCTCAAATTCCTGAAGTGTTCATTCTCTTATTTGTTGTGTTGCCTGACTCTCCCTCATGGTGGATCTTTCTCTCACGTGGTTTGTAATTTTTTATTGTGAGCTCATCTTCAGAGTGTGTAGAACTTTTATTTTCTTTCTCTTTCCTGTGGAAGTTGCTTCTGCTCTGGTTAGAGAAATATCCTCAGGGAACCAGGTTTTTATTTGGCTTCTAGCTGAGCCCCAAGAGTTTTACTAATTCCCAGGCCAGTTTTACAACAATTTAATAGCCTGGGATTTTCTCACTGCGAAAATACTATAAATTTGGACTTCATACCTACATGGGGTCTGGTCTCAGTTTCTCATGGGTGATTTTTTTTCCAGCAGCACCCCCACCTCCCCAATAGAGCCATGGCAGCAAGCTTTCTTGAAGCCTCTCTCTGTCAGATGGCCACCTTTTCTAGTCGCTTTTCATGGAAAGGCATCTATTCCAGAGAGCTAGTCATAAGAAGAGAGGTTGGGACTCACTCCAGTTTTCTTTCTGTGCCTTGGTTTCCTCTTCTGGGAGATAATATTAGTATTACTAATAATGTATGTTTGTTAAGCACATGGTATATTCTAAACATGTTCTAAGCACTTTACTTGTAGATTTTATTTGGTTCTTACCATAACCTCCTGAGGTAGATGTTATCTATTATCTCCTTTTACAGATGAGGAAACTGAGGCCCAGAAATACAAGGTCACACAGCTAGCCAAGGCCTGTCTCATTTCCAAAGTTCATTCTCTTAATCATGTGGCTACATAGCTTGTTGGGGTTCAAGATTATACACCTTGCTAAGTTATCGGGTGAAAATTATTGAAAAGCACCCAGTACACATTTGCTGCTAAAAATAATACTAGTTCTGATAGTGTGTCTGTGTTATAAATTGTGTATTATTTGTAGCAATGTTATATAATTAATGTTAAATTATTAAACGCTGGTGAGAGCCTGAGTTGGGAAAAACTACTGTCTTCAATTAGAAATGCATACTCAGCATCTTTCAAACATCCACAGGGCAGCTCAGCTCTGGCACCAAACCTGACCCCCAGATCTACTCGACCCTTCTGGACAGCGGCTGCCAGGACGGTGAGCACGCGGCCTGCTTCGCAGAGCTGCGGAGGAACTTCGTGAACTCTCGCCCAGTCAAGCTGAAGAACCTGATCCTGCTGGTGAAGCACTGGTACCGCCAGGTGAGGCCACGAGGGAGGGTCCTTGCTCCACACATGTGACCGTGTGATTGGTGCCTCTGTGAAGAATAGTTCTCATGTTTTGCAGCCACTCATGTTTCTCTTTCTGGGAATTGTCTATTCCTATAATTTGCCCATTGTTTTCTACTGGGTTAGCTGCCTTCTTGTTATTGATTGCTTGGCGCTCTTTATGTATTGTGGGTGCTGGTTTATATTTCGTTCCCCAATGCAAATCTACTCTCTCTGTCTGTGGCTTGTACACTTTCACTTGTGTATGGGTCTTTTTGTCACAGAAAATGTTTGTATTTTAATGTAATCAGTTGTGCATCTCTTTTTCACATGTGATGTGAGCTTTCTGTGTCTTGTTTAAGAAGCCTTTGCCTGTTCCAACTTTCTAAAAGTATTCTCCTGTGTTTCCTTCCAAAGGTTTTAAAACTTTCTTTTCATATTTTGGGCTTTGAAATGATCTGGAATGTTTTAGGTACAATATGAAGTATGTGGAGTTTGTAGCCAACGCCCCCCAGCACTGTTCAGGAATGTTCATCTACTGTTGTGTCCTGGGGAAGGGGTGTTCAGCCTGTGATTGGAGAAGAAGGAACAGGCTACCCCAAAATCTCAGGGCAGGTGGCTTGGTCCTTCCTTGGGACCACTCATCTAAAGCAGGTCTGGATGAGGAGGTCCCGGATGCCAATTCTGCTCAGTGCAGAACTGCTCTGTGACCCAGGGCAAGTTCTGCTGTGTTCTTCCTTGGGGGATCACAGTCTCAGACTACCCAATGGCCTCTCTCTGACTGTGCCCCCCTCATGGGGTTTTGAATCTCATACCTCGCCCTCACCCACCACCATAGGAGCCAATCACATTGCTGAATCCCCGGCAGCGAGGGTGATGAGAGACATCAGGTTGCTTTTGGAACAGGCTGGGAACACAGATCCATCCCAGGCTCAGCCTTCTGGTCTCCACCCCGGACACTGAGAGATCAGCAAACTTCCACAGAGACCAGCTCCCCCCACACCCTTTCATCCTCTGAGCCCCTGCTCTGTCCTCTTCCAGGTGTGCCCACAGGAGAGAAGGAGGGAGATGCCTCCCGACTATGCCCTGGAGCTGCTGACCATCTTCGCCTGGGAGAAGGGCTGCGGGAAGGATGCCTTCAGCCTGGCCCAAGGCCTCCGGACCGTCCTGGGCCTGATACAGCAGCATCAGCACCTGCGAGTGTTCTGGACCACCAACTACGGCTTCGAGGACCCTGCAGTTAAGAAGTTCTTGCTTCGCCAGCTGGACAGACCTAGGTACCTCCTACTACCCCACCCCCCGCTTCCCTGTGCCTGCGCCATGGGGAGACAATTAGCTGATAAAACAGGTCTTATCCAATGAGAGCCAGCATCAATGTGACATTCAGTGGATTCGGCCCCAGAAGCCAATGAGAATTACTTGGGGGCGTTTCACAAAGAAACAACACACCACCTGTTTTGTGCACAAACGTTTTAGTGACATGTAACACATTTTGATCACTTCCACTGAAGTGACCAGACCTGTGAAACCCCGACTTGAGCAGGCAGAATATTCCAGCACCCAGGACCTTTCTTGGTGCCGCTCCCACAGGGAACCCCACTCTGCCTGTTCTCATTCCAGCTCTGCTTTTGAATCATTGAGACAGAACCCCACGGCATGGACTACTGTGTCTGCCTTCTCCGTCCCAATGGAGTCTTTGAGATTCCTGCAGTTGTGGCTCCTTCTCTTGCACTGCTGATTAGTGTCACATCGTGTGACTTTGTCGCAGTACGTTTTCCATCCCACTCATGACGTGTCTTTGGCTGGTGCCCACTCTGGGGCTGTTACAAAGAGGGCTGTGATCAACGGCCTCGTATTTCAGCGGACGCACGTCACTCTTGAACTTCTACCTCGCATGCAATTGCTAAGCCATAGGGTGTCACTCAGAGATCCAGGGCTGGGTCCTGGGATCTTGCGATGCTAACGTGCAGCTGGAGTTGAAGATCGTTGCGCTCATTCGATCTCGGCAACGGCCTATCCCATCAGGCAGGGCTGTCATCCCCATTTTGAAAATGAGGAAACTGAGACTCAGAGAAGTCAGTCATCTGCCTCTGGTCACAGGACTGGAAAGCAGCAATTGAGACGGGAACCAGGTCAGCCTCACTCCAGAGCCCGTCGTCTTGAGCACCGTGCTAACCAGAATCTTCTTGTCCCTCTGGTTGGCAGGCCTGTGATCCTGGACCCGGCTGACCCGACGTGGGACGTGGGGAACGGGGCAGCCTGGCACTGGGACCTGCTGGCCCGAGAGGCAGAGTCCTGCTATGACAGCCCATGTTTTCTGCAGGCAGCAGGGGGCGCTGTGCAGCCCTGGGAGGTGCCGGTGAGTGCGGGGCTCCTGGTATCCTTGGGTTTTACACCTAATGTACGTGCTCAGTATTTTCTGAGCATCTGCTGTGCACTGGGGGCCAGGGGACGTGGGACAGAGTTGAAAAGGTGGGGACCGCAGGCATGTAAAACAATCTACTTCCCAATCTACGTGTAGTTACTGTCTGCGTACCAACCTGAGTTTGCCCACCACAGGGGGACCTTTTTATAATCTATCCCCTTCATAAAGGCACCTGTTCTAATGCACACAGAGGTGTCATATGGGCGACCTCTCCCTCCCCCTCTTGAAGCCTCAGTCACCCTGACTATAGGACTGGAGGGGGCTGGCCCGGGAAGGAACGTAGAAACCGTTGCCCGTGTGAGACGGCTTCTTCAACACACCTCTAGGGCCTTCCGCTCGCTGCTCCCCCCATCCTGCGAGACCCTGCCCAGAAGACCCCCGAGGACAGCAGCAGTCTTGATGCCGTGCACCCCAGGGCGGGGAACGGGCAGCCCTCATGCCCAGACCCCGACCCCTCAGTGGTGGCCGCCATCGCCCCCTGCGCCCTGGAGGTGGTCTCGGATCTGTCCCAGATCCCCGCCAGGGAGCTGGATCGTTTCATCCAGGACCACCTCAAGCCGCAACCCCAGTTCCAGAAGCAGGTGAGCAAGGCCTTCGACGTCATCCTGAGCTGCCTCCGTGAGAACGGCGCCCACAAGGCCTCCAGAGTCAGCAAGGTGAGTCCGGCAGGTGGAGACACTGCAGGGACCCTGTGGGAGGGACCACAGTGGGGACAGGAAGACGTCGGAGAGATACAGCTGAGGGGGGACCAAGGGAGTAGACATCCTTGGAGGGCGGTTTGCTGGCTGGAGGGATGTATTTAAGACTAGCTGCTTTTTCTTTTTAATGAATTTTTTTAATCACCGTTACCATAGTCAGATCACTTCCTTCTGTGCCCCAAATCCTCCAGGGTGTCAGAGCATAGTGGCCTCAAGGCCCGTGGGATTTGGCCCCGGTCTCTCTCTGACCCTCACTCACTCCATGGCGGCCCCCTGACTGCTTCCTGAGCTCACCAGGCACACCACATCCCCGCGGGCTGTTTCCTCTTTCAGGAATGTTCTTCCCCATCCACTTGGCGCTCGCCCTCTCCTCCTTTAAGTCTATGATCCACGTCCCCTTTTCAAGGAGGCCTGACTGACTGCTCGAGTTACAGTTACAACTTCCGCTCCACTGCAGGTCCCTTATTCTTGGCCTCCACGTAGGGCGGCCATTGTTTTCTGATGGTCCCTGCCTCCCCTCCCCCTCCCCCTCCCTCTCTCTTGGTACAATATAAGTTCCAGGAGAATAAGTAATGTTATCCCCTCCCATACCCATATATGCAATTGCACAATAAATATCTGTTGAATGTATGAATGAATGCATGCATGGGTGGATTGTTTGATTGTTTGATTGATTGATGATTGATTGATTGATTGATTGAAACAGGCCAGAGTACCTCTGCAGACCCCATTTTACAACCTGTGATCCAAATGTGCAGTCAGTAGGTGCTGCAGATGTTTGGCTAAAAATCTTTGACCACTGCCCCGACTTCGCCCCTCATCCCCAACCACCCCTCTTATCTGCGGCTGCATATTGTCTGACCTTGGGCAGGCTTCATGGGTCGGTGGACGGATGCGGGCAGATGTAGTCTGACTCCGCCAGGCTTCTGATGGTCAGAGGTCACAGGGTTTATGCAGCCTGCATCTGTCATGGTCCCCCAAGAGCTACTATCAGTGAGAGGGCAGTTTCAGGGCTGCAGACGGGGGGCTGCTGGCGGGGTCACAGTCGGACTCCCGGGCTCAGAGTTACTAGTCTGAGATGGTCTCTTGTCCGCAGGGGGGCTCATTCGGCCGCGGCACAGACCTGAGGGGTGGCTGTGATGCCGAACTCATTGTCTTCCTCAACTGCTTCAAGAACTACAAGGACCAGGGGCCCCTCTGCGCAGAGGTCCTCCGTGACCTGCGGGCACAGCTGGAGTCCTGTGGGCAGGAGCCGGTACCCGGCCTGACCCTGAAGTTTGCAGCGCAGACCACGACCAAGGCTTTGCGGTTTCAGCTAGTGTCCTCGGCCCTCAAAAGCTGGATGGATGTCAGCCTGCTGCCCGTCTTTGATGCCGTGGGTGAGGGTGCCCAGCTTGTGCTCAGAGGGACCAGGAGCATCTCATGGGGCGCTTGCGACCCTCTTTGTGACCCTAATTCCCCTACTTCACCAAGCTCTGGCAACTACCATGAGATACCTAAAGTCATCGTCATCATCAATTCATAACTATGTAGTGCTTTTCACTTTGCAAAATTCTTAATAATGTTTCAAACATTCAAAAAACTATAGACATCACACACCCATGTACTCCGATTACGATGTAACAAGTGTTAACAATTCTCCTTATCAGCTTGGGATTTTATTTTTTTTAAGAAATTACATGCCATTTCCTTTCTTATTTTGAAGAGTTTACTTTATGGTTAATTTTCTAACTTATTTAGCTAAATCTAAGTCTTCACAAGTGCAATTAAGGCTATACACGTTCCTCTAAAGTGTCACATCAGCTGCATTGCAATTGCTTTATATCTATAATTTTTAGTATCGCTCTTTTAGAGCTAAATATCCTGTACCTTTCTTTTCTTTTTTTGGTACGTGTTCCTAGCAGGAACCGAACCCGGGACTCTCTAGTCCGCAGGCCCACTCTCCAAGCGCTGAGCCAAACTGGCCAGGGCTAAATATTCTGTACTTTTAATTATGACATTATGATTTGTTCTTTGACCCCTGAATATTTGGAAGTGGGTTTCCAAGTGGATGTTTTGGTCTTTTGTTCATTTGTGTGCCTTGGACATTTAGTTATCTTTTTCTTTTCTTCAAATTATAGTTGACGTATAGTAGTATATTAGTTTCAGGAGTACAACATAGACATACATACACATTACCATATGAAGTGATCAGCCTGATCAGCCTAGTATACATCTGACAACATACATACTTATTACAATATTATTGGCTATATTTCCTGTGTAGTGTTTTTCTATTTTTAACTGTAGTCAGAAAACATACCCCCAAAATATCAATTCTCTGGAATTTGTTGGCACTTCCTCGGTTCCCCATGGTCGTAAAGGATGCAGGCTTTCTATGGTTGAGAGTTGGCTTCTGTACAGGTCCTTCAGATCTAGCTCATGATATTTGTTTGGATCTATAGTACTTATTTTTTGCTTATTTGGTCTATCAATTTATGAGTGGAATATCAGAGTCTTCTGCTCTGAATTACAAGTTTCTCCTTGTGTTTCTGGAAAATTTTTATTTTAATATTTTGAGGCTATGTTATTAGGGAATGTGTAAGTACATAATTATATTTTTATTGGATTGTTCCTTTTATCATTAAGTAATAATCCTCATTATTGCTCAAAACATTTATTTGCCTTAAAGCCTTTTGTCTAATATTAATAGAGTTGCACTGGTCTTTTAGTAGTGTTTTCCTGAAATACCAGTTTCTACTTTTTTTATTTGTAAGGATATTTTATTTAATTTTAATTGTACTTTTTATTAGTAAGGTAAAACTGGAAGACAAAAATGGAACCAACAATACTATAATCATATGAGAGATTAATACTATATTAGAACTAATATATAGATACTAACTATAAGAAAGATTATTTTCATTTGCTGTTGTTTTTATACAGTCTGTGCAAATCAAAATCTATGCACATAATTAGCAGGATTCTGTCCCCTCACCATTGCTTCTTCATTTCCAGTTCTTCCTTCTGGATTCATTTCCTTCTTACAGAAATACATCCTGTGGCACTGCCTTCAGAAAGGGTTTATGAGTGATCGGTTTTCTCAGACTTCATCCTAAAAAACCTTTTGTTTCAGCTACACTCTTGGAGGAAATGGTTGACATTTGTTTTTTCAGTTTCTACTGTCTTCTGACCTTTATAGTTGTTGATGAAAAGTCGGCTGTTTACTTCTTTTTTGGTGTGTGTGTGTGTGTGTGTGTGTGTGTGTTGTTTTGGGGTTTTTTGTAGCTTATATTTATTTATTTATTTATTCTTTTTGGTAGCTTTTACGACTTTCCTTAGTCCAGAGCATCCTTCAGTTTCTGATATGTTTGTATATTGACTTCTTTTCATTATACGATTTGGAATTTGTTGTGCTGGTTGGATCTGAGGACTCAATTCTTCATTTAGTTTTGGGAAAATGTCTTCCAGTATCTCTTTGAATATCACCTCCCCCCTGTTTTCTCTCTTCTCTACTTCTGGAACTACTATGAAATGGTGTCTCACTTCATCCTCCATGTCCCATGTCTCTCGTTTTTTCCGTCTCTCAGGCTGCCTGCTGCTCCGTTGCTCAAGTCTACGTTCCAGTGTACTTTCTTCAAATGTGTCTGATCTGCTGCCTAACCTTAATTTTTTAAAAATCCCAGTAACTTTATTTTTCACTTTGAGAAGTTCTATTAGCTATTTCTCTAGTCAACCTGTTATTTGCTCATAGGCTCCTATACTTTTGTTGTGGCTTCAGTCTCTTTTTCTCTCTTTAATTATTTTAAGGATGTTTATTTTAGTCCCTCAGATTGGCCTATTTTCTCGAATTCCTGAAGTGTTCATTCTCTTATTTGTTGTGTTGCCTGACTCTCCCTCATGGTGGATCATTCTCGCACGTGGTTTGTAATTTTTTATTGTGAGCTCATCTTCAGAGTGTGTAGAACTTTTATTTTCTTTCTCTTTCCTGTGGAAGTTCCTTCTGCTCTGGTTAGAGAAATATCCTCAGGGAACCTGGTTTTTATTTGGCTTCTAGCTGAGCCCCAAGGGTTTTGCTAATTCCCAGGCCAGTTTTACAACATTGTAATAGCCGGGGATTTCCTCACTGCGAAAATACTATAAATTTGGACTTCATACCTACATGGGGTCTGGTCTCAGTTTCCCAGGGGGGATTTTTCTTTTCAGCAGCCCCCCCCCCCCAATAGAGCCATGGCAGCAAGCTTTCTTGAAGCCTCTCTCTGTCAGATGGTCACCTTTTCTAGTCGCTTTTCAGGGAAAAGGCATCTATTCCAGGGAGCCAGTCTTAAGAAGAGAGGTTGGGACTCATTCCAGTTTTCTCTCTGTGCCTTGGTTCTCTCTTCTGGGAGATAATATTAGGAACACCAATAATGTATGTTTGTTAAGCACATGGTATATTCTAAGCATGTTCTAAGCACTTTACTTGTAGATTTCATTTGGTTCTTACCATAACTTCCTGAGGTAGATGTTATCTGTTACCCCCTTTTACAGATGAGGAAACTGAGGCCCCGAAAGGCAAGATCACACAGCTAGCATTTGAACCCAGGCCTGTCTCATCTCCAAAGTTCATTCTCTTAATCATGTGGCTACATAGCTTGTTTTGGTTCAAGATTATACACCTTGCTAAGTTATGGGGTGAAAATTATTGAAAAGCATCCAGAACACATTTGCTGCTAAAAATAATACTAGTTCTGATGTGAGTCTGTGTTATAGATTGTGTATTATTTGTTGCAATGTTATATAAGTAATGTTAAACTATTAAAGGCTGTTAGGGCCTGGGTTGGGAAAAGCTACTGTCTTCAATTAGAAATGCATACTCAGCATCTTTCAAACATCCACAGGGCAGCTCAGCTCCGGCACCAAACCTGACCCCCAGATCTACTCGACCCTTCTGGACAGCGGCTGCCAGGACGGTGAGCACGCGGCCTGCTTCGCAGAGCTGCGGAGGAACTTCGTGAACTCTCGCCCAGTCAAGCTGAAGAACCTGATCCTGCTGGTGAAGCACTGGTACCGCCAGGTGAGGCCACGAGGGAGGGTCCTTGCTCCACACATGTGACCGTGTGATTGGTGCCTCTGTGAAGAATAGTTCTCATGTTTTGCAGCCACTCATGTTTCTCTTTCTGGGAATTGTCTATTCCTATAATTTGCCCATTGTTTTCTACTGCGTTAGCTGCCTTCTTGTTGTTGATTGCTTGGCACTCTTTATGTATTGTGGGTGCTGGTTTATATTTCGTTACCACAATGCAAATCTACTCTCTCTGTCTGTGGCTTGTACACTATCACTTTGGGTCTTTTTGTGACAGAAAATGTTTGTATTTTAATGTAATCAGTTGTGCATCTCTTTTTCACATGTGATGTATGCTTTATGTGTCTTGTTTAAGAAGACTTTGCCTGTTCCAACTTTCTAAAAGTATTCTCCTGTGTTTCCTTCCAAACGTTTTAAGACTTTCTTTTCATATTTTGGGCTTTGAAATGTCTGGAATGTTTTATGTACAATATGAAGTATGTGGAGTTTGTAGCCAACGCCCCCCAGCACTGTTCAGGAATGTTCATATACTGTTGTATCCTGGGGAAGGGGTGTTCAGCCTGTGATTGGAGAAGAAGGAAAAGGCTACCTCAAAATCTCAAGGCACGTGGCTTGGTCCTACCTTGGGACCACTCATCTAAAGCAGGTCTGGATGAGGAGGTCCCGGATGACAATTCTGCTCAGTGCAGAACTGCTCTTGACCCAGGGCAAGTTCTCCTGTGTTCCTCCTTGGGGGATCATAGTCTCAGACTACCCAATGGCCTCTCTCTGACTGTGCCCCCCTCATGGGGGCTTGAATCTCATACCGTTCCCTCACCCAGCACTATGTGAGCCAATCACATTACTGAATCCCCGGCAGCGAGGGTGATGAGAGAAATCAGGTTGCTTTTGGAACAGGCTGGGAACACAGATCCATCCCAGGCTCAGCCTGCTGGTCTCCACCCCGGACACTGAGAGATCAGCAAACTTCCACAGAGACCAGCTCCCCCCACCCTTTCATCCTCTGAGCCCCTGCTCTGTCCTCTTCCAGGTGTGCCCACAGGAGAGAAGGAGGGAGATGCCCCCCGACTATGCCCTGGAGCTGCTGACCATCTTCGCCTGGGAGAAGGGCTGTGGGAAGGATGCCTTCAGCCTGGCCCAAGGCCTCCGGACCGTCCTGAGCCTGATACAGCAGCATCAGCACCTGCGAGTGTTTTGGACCACCAACTACGGCTTCGAGGACCCTGCAGTTAAGAAGTTCTTGCTTCGCCAGCTTGACAGACCTAGGTACCTCCTACTACCCCACCCCCCGCTTCCCTGTGCCTGCGCCATGGGGAGACAATTAGCTGATAAAACAGGTCTTATCCAGTGAGAGCCAACATCAATGTGACATTCAGTGGATTCAGCCCCAGAAGCCAATGAGAATTACTTGGGGGCGTTTCACAGAGAAACAACACACCACCTGTTTTGTGCACAAACGTTTTAGTGACATGTAACACATTTTGATCACTTCCACTGAAGTGACCAGACCTGTGAAACCCCGAGTTGATCAGGCAGAATATTCCAGCACCCAGGACCTTCCCTGGTGCCGCTCCCAGAGGGAACCCCACTCTGCCTGTTCTCATTCCAGCTCTGCTTTTGTACCATTGAGACAGAACCCCACGGCATGGACTACTGTGTCTGCCTTCTCCGTCCCAATGGAGTCTTTGAGATTCCTGTAGTTGTGGCTCCTTCTCTTCCACTGCTGATTAGTGCCACATCGTGTGACTTTGTCGCAGTACGTTTTCCATCCCACTCATGACGTGTCTTTGGCTGGTGCCCACTCTGGGGCTGTTACAAAGAGGGCTGTGATCAACGGCCTCGTATTTCAGCGGACGCACGTCAGTCTTGGACTTCTACCTCGCATGCAATTGCTAAGCCATAGGGTGTCACTCAGAGATCCCAGGGCTGGGTCCTGGGATCTTGCGATGCTAACGTGCAGCTGGAGTTGAAGATCGTTGCGCTCATTCGATCTCGGCACCGGCCTATCCCATCAGGCAGGGCTGTCATCCCCATTTTGAAAATGAGGAAACCTAGGCTCAGGGAAGTCAGTCATCTGCCTCTGGTCACACGGCTGGAAAGCAGCAGTTGTGACCAGGTCAGCCTCACTCCAGAGCCCGTCGTCTTGAGCACCGTGCTAACCAGAATCTTCTTGTCCCTCTGGTTGGCAGGCCCGTGATCCTGGACCCGGCTGACCCGACGTGGGACGTGGGGAACGGGGCAGCCTGGCACTGGGACCTGCTGGCCCGAGAGGCAGAGTCCTGCTATGACAGCCCATGTTTTCTGCAGGCAGCAGGGGGCGCTGTGCAGCCCTGGGAGGTGCCGGTGAGTGCTGGGCTCCTGGTATCCTTGGGTTTTACACCTAATGTACGTGCTCAGTATTTTCTGAGCATCTGCTGTGCACTGGGGGCCAGGGGACGTGGGACAGAGTTGAAAAGGTGGGGACCGCAGGCATGTAAAACAATCTAATCCCCAATCTCTGTGTAGTTACTATCTGCTTACCAACCTGAGTTTGCCCACCACAGGGGGACCTTTTTATAATCTATCCCCTTCATAAACACACCTGTTCTAATGCACACAGAGGTGTCATATGGGCCACCTCTCCCTCCCCCTCTTGAAGCCTCAGTCACCCTGACTATAGGACGGGAGGGGGCTGGCCCAGGAAGGAACGTAGAAACCGTTGCCCGTGTGAGACGGCTTCTTCAACACACTTCTAGGGCCTTCCGCTCACTGCTCCCCCCATCCTGCGAGACCCTGCCCAGAAGACCCCCGAGGACAGCAGCAGTCTTGACGCCGTGCACCCCAGGGCGGGGAACGGGCAGCCCTCATGCCCAGACCCCGACCCCTCAGTGGTGGCCGCCATCGCCCCCTGTGCCCTGGAGGTGGTCTCGGATCTGTCCCAGATCCCCGCCAGGGAGCTGGATCGTTTCATCCAGGACCACCTCAAGCCGCAACCCCAGTTCCAGAAGCAGGTGAGCAAGGCCTTCGACGTCATCCTGAGCTGCCTCCGTGAGAACGGCGCCCACAAGGCCTCCAGAGTCAGCAAGGTGAGTCCGGCAGGTGGAGACACTGCGGGGACCCTGTGGGAGGGACCACAGTGGGGACAGGAAGACGTCGGAGAGATACAGCTGAGGGGGGACCAAGGAAGTAGACATCCTTGGAGGGCGGTTTGCTGGCTGGAGGGATGTATTTAAGACTAGCTGCTTTTTCTTTTCAATGAGTTTTTTTTAATCACCGTTACCATAGTCAGATCACTTCCTTCTCTGCCCCAAATCCTTAGGGTGTCAGAGCATAGTGGCCTCAAGGCCCGTGGGATTTGGCCCCGGTCTCTCTCTGACCCTCACTCACTCCATGGCGGCCCCCTGACTGCTTCCTGAGCTCACCAGGCACACCACATCCCCGCTGCCTGTTTCCTCTTTCCGGAATGTTCTTCCCCATCCACTTGGCTCTCTCCCTCTCCTCCTTTAAGTCTATGATCCACGTCCCCTGATCAAGGAGGCCCGACTGACTGCTCGAGTTACAGTTACAACTTCCGCTCCACTGCAGGTCCCTTATTCTTGGCCTCCACGTAGGGCGGCCATTGTTTTCTGATGGTCCCTGCCTCCCCTCCCCCTCCCCCTCCCTCTCTCTTGGTACAATATAAGTTCCAGGAGAATAAGTAATGTTATCCCCTCCCATACCCATATATGCAATTGCACAATAAATATCTGTTGAATGCCTGAATGAATGCATGCATGGGTGGATTGTTTGATTGATTGATTGATTGATTGATTGATTGATTGAAACAGGCCAGAGTACCTCTGCAGACCCCTATGGGGCCCAGGACCCCAGTTTACAACCTGTGATCCAGATGTGCAGTCAGTAGGTGCTGCAGATGTTTGGCTAAAAATCTTTGACCACTGCCCCGACATCGCCCCCCATCCCCAACCACCCCTCTTATCTGCGGCTGCATATTGTCTGACCTTGGGCAGGCTTCATGGGTCGGTGGACGGATGCGGGCAGATGTAGTCTGACTCCGCCAGGCTTCTGATGGTCAGAGGTCACAGGGTTTATGCAGCCTGCATCTGTCATGGTCCCCAAGGGCTACTATCAGTGAGAGGGCAGTTTCAGGGCTGCAGACGGGGGGCTGCTGGCGGGGTCACAGTCGGACTCCCGGGCTCAGAGTTACTAGTCTGAGATGGTTTCTTCTCCGCAGGGGGGCTCATTCGGCCGCGGCACAGACCTGAGGGGTGGCTGTGATGCCGAACTCATTGTCTTCCTCAACTGCTTCAAGAACTACAAGGACCAGGGGCCCCTCTGCGCAGAGGTCCTCCGTGACCTGCGGGCACAGCTGGAGTCCTGTGGGCAGGAGCCGGTACCCGGCCTGACCCTGAAGTTTGCAGCGCAGACCACGACCAAGGCTTTGCGGTTTCAGCTAGTGTCCTCGGCCCTCAAAAGCTGGGTGGATGTCAGCCTGCTGCCCGTCTTTGATGCCGTGGGTGAGGGTGCCCAGCTTGTGCTCAGAGGGACCAGGGAGCATCTCATGGGGCGCTTGTGACCCTCTTTGTGACCCTAATTCCCCTACTTCACCAAGCTCTGGCAACTACCATGATTACCTAAAGTCATCCTCATCATCAATTCATAACTATGTAGTGCTTTTCACTTTGCAAAACTCTTAATAATGTTTCAAACGTTCAGAAAACTAGACATCACACACCCATGTACTCCGATTACGATGTAACAAGTGTTAATAATTCTCCTTATCAGCTTGGGATTTTATTTTTTTTAAGAAATTACATGCCATTTTCTTTTTTATTTTGAAGAGTTTACGGTTAATTTTCTAACTTATTTAGCTAAATCTAAGTCTTCACAAGTGCAATTAAGGTTATACACGTTCCTCTAAAGTGTCACATCAGGTGCATTGCAAATGCTTTATATTTATAATTTTTAGTATCGCTCTTTTAGGTCTAAATATTCTGTACTTTTCTTTTACTGTTTTTTTTTTGTTGTTGTTACATTGCCCTAGCAGGAACCGAACCCGGGACTCTCTAGTCCACAGGCTCACGCTCCAACCACTGAGCCAAACTGGCCAGGGCTAAACATTCTGTACTTTTAATTATGACATTATGATTTGTTCTTTCACCCCTGAATATTTGGAAGTGGGTTTCCAAATGGATGTTTTGGTCTTTTGTTCATTTGTGTGCCTTGGACATTTAGTTATCTTTTTTTCAAATTATAGTTGATGTATAGTATTATATTAGTTTCAGGAGTACAACATAGACATGTGTACACATACCATATGAAGTGATCAGCATGATAAGCCTAGTATACATCTGACAACATACATACTTATTAAAATATTGTTGGCTATATTTCCTGTGTAGTCTTACTCTATTTTTAACTGTAGTCAGAAAACATACCCCCAAAATATCAATTCTCTGGAATTTGTTGGCACTTCCTCGGTTCCCCATGGTCGTAAAGGATGCAGGCTTTCCGTTGTTGAGAGTTGGCTTCTGTACAGGTCCTTCAGAGCTAGCTCATGATATTTGTTTGGATCTATAGTACTTACTTATTGCTTATTTGGTCTATCAATTTATGAGTGGAATATCAGAATCTTCTGCTCTGAATTACAACCTGTTATTTGCTCATAGGCTCCTATATTTTCATTGTAGCTTCAGTCTCTTTTTATCTCTTTAATTATTTTAATTATGCTTATTTTAGTCCCTTAGATAGGCCTATTTTCTCAAATTCCTGAAGTGTTCATTCTCTTATTTGTTGTGTTGCCTGACTGTCCCTCATGGTGGATCATTCTCTCACGTGGTTTGTAATTTTTTATTGTGAGCTCATCTTCGGAGTGTGTGGAACTTTTATTTTCTTTCTCTTTCCTGTGGAAGTTGCTTCTGCTCTGGTTAGAGAAATATCCTCAGGGAACCCGGTTTTTATTTGGCTTCTAGCTGAGCCCCAAGGGTTTTGCTAATTCCCAGGCCGGTTTTACAACAATGTAATAGCCTGGAATTTCCTCACTGGGAAAATACTATAAATTTCGACTTCACACCTACATGGGGTCTGGCCTCAGTTTCTCAGGGGGGATTTTTCTTTTCAGCACCCCTCTCCCCCAATAGAGCCATGGCAGCAAGCTTTCTTGAAGCCTCTCTCTGTCAGATGGTCACCTTTTCTAGTCGCTTTTTGTGGAAAAGGCATCTATTCCAGGGTGCTAGCCTTAAGAAGAGAGGTTGGGACTTATTTCAGTTTTCTCTCTGGGCCTTGGTTCCCTCTTCTGGGAGATAATATTAGGAACACCAATAATTTATGTTTGTTAAGCACATGTTATATTCTAAGCATGTCCTAAGCACTTTACTTGTAGATTTCATTTGGTTCTTACCATAACCTCCTGAGGTAGATGTTATCTGCTATCCCCTTTTACAGATGAGGAAACTGAGGCCCCGAAAGGCAAGATCACACAGCTAGCATTTGAACCCAGGCCTGTCTCATCTCCAAAGTTCATTCTCTTAATCATGTGGCTACATAGCTTGTTTGCGTTCAAGATTATACACCTTGCTAAGTTATGGGGTGAAAATTATTGAAAAGCACCCAGTACACATTTGCTGCTAAAAATAATACTAGTTCTGATTGTGAGTCTGTGTTATAGATTGTGTATTATTTGTTGCAATGTTATATAAGTAATGTTAAATTATTAAACACTGGTGAGGGCCTGGGTTGGGAAAAGCTACTGTCTTCAATTAGAAATGCATACTCAGCATCTTTCAAACATCCACAGGGCAGCTCAGCTCCGGCACCAAACCTGACCCCCAGATCTACTCGACCCTTCTGGACAGCGGCTGCCAGGACGGTGAGCACGCGGCCTGCTTCGCAGAGCTGCGGAGGAACTTCGTGAACTCTCGCCCAGTCAAGCTGAAGAACCTGATCCTGCTGGTGAAGCACTGGTACCGCCAGGTGAGGCATCAGTACCTCTTGCTCCTCCCAGGAAACAGTCACAGCCATGGCTCCTCCCCTACACAGACAGCACTCCACCGTTGCTTTTTATTGGCCCTCCCAAGCAGAAGCACCTCCTCCACCATGCTTCATTTCCTGCCCAGACCCGGAAGCCCCTGGCTGAGAATCTTTTCTCCATCAAGTCCCCAAATCCTCATGTGTTGTGGCCAGGGTTCACCGCCCCTCTCTAGCCATCTCTCCTCTCCTGGTGCTACTGCTTTCCCCTATTCCTCCTCACCTCTAAGCCTTTGCTGATGTTGTTCCTCCACCACCATCTTTGCAAGATAGGCGAACTCCTGAGCATCCTTCAGAGTTCCCTCAGCAAACACTCCTCTGAATGCCAACTCTCCTGCATCCACTCATTTATTCAGCCAACATCTACTGAGCACCCACTATTTGCTAACTTGTGATGGGTGTTTTGTAATGCCAAGAGGAATGTGTCACAGACCCCAGTTCTATAGGACCACCCTGTGTACCCTCAGAAAGACTCTGGGCAAAGACCAAGGCTGAGCCTTCTTGTTCCCACGGTGTGACCTTGGACGAGTCACTATCACCGTACTATAGAGCTCAGTTTATTCACGTATAATGAGAAGGGTGAGTCAGGCCATCCCCAAGGTTCTGTTCTTCCTGTGGTCTTTTTAAAAATAGTTTTCCCCTTCTTCTCCAAGGGTGTAGGGCTATGCTTGGCATGCAGCAGGTGCTCACGCCACTGACTCTTTGATGTGGGGGACATAGGTGGCCGCCCAGAACGAAGGAGGACGGCCCGCCTGTGCCTCTCTGCCCCCGGCCTTTGCGCTGGAGCTCCTGACCATCTTCGCCTGGGAGCAGGGATGCGGGAAGGACCGTTTCAGCATGGCCGAAGGCCTGAGGACCGTCCTGAGGCTTGTCCAGCAGCACCAGCAGCTCAGTGTCTTCTGGACAGTCAACTATAGTTTTGAGGACCCAGCTCTCAGAACGCACCTTCTTGGCCAGCTTCGGAAACCCAGGTGCAGACCCTCTACCTTGTTTCCTGCTCTGCATCATCCTTCCCCCCACTGTCACCCCGGAGTCACTATCCAGGAGGGGTCCCCATTGTCACTCTGCTTCCGTCTGGACTCTTTGCTGAGGAAGCATGGACTCAATGAGCCCCAAAGGAAGCCAGGGCCAGTGTTTTTTTTCCTTTTATTCTCACCTGAGGATATTTTTCTGTTTATCTGCAGATAGAGTGGGAGGGAGGGAAAGAGAGGGAGAGAGAGAGAAACATCGACGCGAGAGGGACACATCGATTGGTTGCCTCCCGCACAACGGGGATGGACGGCAACTGAGGCGCGTGCCCTTGACCAGAATGGAACCCGCGACGCATTGTTCCGCGGACCGACGCTCTAACCGCTGAGCCAAACCAGCCAGGACAAGGGCCAGTTTTACTACCACAATACAACACCAGATCTCAAATTAAGGAGCCAGCCGATAGCCTTCAGACCGAGGTGGCCAAGCAGGGACCCTACTGTGCTTGGGCGAGATCGCACCAGCCCTAAAGTGCTGACCCTCTTCTCCCTCTCCCCAGCCCCCAACACTTCCCAATCTCTCCACCCCCTGCTCCTTTACTGACTCTCACCTTTCCCACCTGCCTGCCCACCCGCTCTGCCCCAGGCCCTTGATCCTGGACCCTGCCGACCCCACCTGGAACGTGGGCCAGGGCAGCTGGGAGCTGTTGGCCCGGGAAGCGGCAGCCCTGGAGACGCAGGCCTGCGTTATGAGTCGCGAAGGGACGCCCGTGCCACCCTGGGATGTGATGGTAAGAGGTGGGTCCCAGAGGGGAAGGACGCTGTGGGTGCCCCATCCCAGATCCCCTTTCCCTGCTGGTGCCCACATCCCCAGCTGCTAGGGGTGCTGAATGCCCAATACAGCCAAGGCACGGGTTCCATCCCGGCCAGTGCTTGAATGACGTGCGCACAAGAGGCCCACCCTGCCCTGGCTGGTGTGGCTCAGCAGTTAGAGTGTCGGCCTGTGGACCAGAGAGACCCGGGTTCGGTTCCCGCTAAGGGCATGTACCTCGGTTGCAGTTTGTCCCCGTCCCAGTTGGGGTCGTGTGGGTGGCAACCAGTCAGTGTGTCTCTTTCACATCAATGTTTCTCTCTCTCTCTCTTCCTCCCTCTCCCCCTCCCGCTCTATCTGAAGATAAATGCAAAAATGTCCTCGGGTGAGGATTAAAAAAAAGGCCCACCCTGCTGCAAGGCAAGACCAGCTCTGTAATGTAATCCCTGCCCCAGAGCCCCCTCTGGGGTTCGGAAAAAGCTTTCCACAGCGGAGCCTCCCCCACCCTCTCCTGCTCCCCCCACTTTCTTCCCCTGAAGCCCTGTCGCAGTTTATCACATGACAAGAATCCCTGGCACTGCTTCTGGGAGCCCACTCATGACGATGGCCATTTGCAGCTCCTCAAAGGACACGCTTCCATCGCATTTGCTGTTTTGCAGCAGAATCTCATAACCAGTGTTTAACATTCGAGACCATCCAGTGAGGCAGGGGCCTCCTTTAAAGATGGGGACACTGAGGCTGGGCGGTGGTGGTGGAACCAGAACTTGAACTCTGGTCCCTCTGGTGAGCTGCCAACCGGCTGAGAAGAACAGGGAGCTGTAGGAGATAAGGGGAGGTCTCGTTCTCACGACCACGGGGCAGGGCCTGGGTGTTCACAGGGAACCTGTCTCGAGCTGGCCCCTCCCGCGTTCTCTCCACAGCCCACTCTCCTTCGCCAAACCCCAGCCAGCGACCTCGACAAGTTCATCAGTGCATTGCTCCAGCCCAACCAACAGTTCCTGGATCAGGTGGCCAAGGCTGTGGATACCATCTGCTCCTTCCTGAGGGAGAACTGCTTCCGGAATTCTCCCACCAAAGTGCTCAAGGTGGTCAAGGTGAGTTCCCAGGGAGCCGTGGGCCAAGAGGCTCCTGACGGCTGGTGATCTCGTCTAGCCCTGGACCAGGCCTGACCCGCTTCTGTGGCCCCTGCAGCCACAGCGCAAGGCCACCAACAGTGCGAGGGCATGGTAGATGGCCCAACAATGGCCATATACGCCCAAGGAGTTTCTTTTGATTGATTGTGACAGGTAACTCAAAAGAAGCAACAAAGGGAATGTGTTGGCTGATGTAAATGGAAGGCCCTGGAACAGACTGCCTTCAGGCACGGCTAGATCCAGAAGCCCATGCAGGGTCATCAGGACTCCGCTTTTCTTCCTAGCTCTTGGCTCTGTCTTCTTCTGTCTTGGATGGCCCTGTCCCTATGATGGTCCTTGACATCTCTAAGATTCTAAAAAGAGGAATTATCTTTTCTCAAAATTCAAAGAAATATTGGAGTTACGTTTCATTGGCCTGGCGATCTATCCCTTAACCAATCACTAGGGCTAGGGAGACATCATGGGCCAACTGGCCAAGTGTGGGTCATATGGTGGAGTCAGCCCTATGTGGACCTCATGGGTGGAGTGATTCCCCCAAAGAAAACCATTGCTGATCCCAGAAGGCGGAAAAGGATGCTGGGGGTGTATAAAAGGTCACATACCTGCAGCACCAGATATGACCTTGGTTCATAATGGGAGTCACAGGAGACATGGGTCAACTCTGGAAAGAGCGTCAGCATAGAGTCAGCCAGTGACAAGCCCTAGGCCTGGCGACTTGCTGTGTGACCCCAGGCAAATACCTGCCCCCTCTCTGATCCTTGCTTTCCTCATCCCCATAACACTTTGGAGGACCACAGTAGCCGACTCACTGGTTCTCAACTGCAGCTTCACTTGGAAATCACAGGGAAGCGTTTAAAAAATATACGGAGGCCTAAGCCTCCTCCCTGGAAAATTAAAACACAGCCTCAGGGACATAAGAGTCCAGGCACCATCATTTTTGTAAGACTCTCCTGATGCAGGCAGGCATGAGAATCAACCGCAGGCCTGAACAGTCTAAAGAAAAAGAAAAGAAGAGAAAGAACATTCCCAGATCCCTCCCAGCCCCCAAACACGATTGCAATGAGAAATTTTGCATGTGTGGTAAGGGTTGAAACTTATGTTCCTGCACATTTCTTTTTCTCACCACTATGCCATGTAGTAACCCATATAGAGAACTAATGACAGGGAGGTTAGGGGACTTGCCCAAGTCACACAAGCAAGTTCTTAATGTCATGAATCCAGAGCCCATAGGCTCTGGCAGGAGGCATCAAGCAGG